GCAGGAGAAAACTACAACATGGTTTGTATTTTATGTTCTGTCCGTTTTATAATCGCCAATACGGACCTGAAAAACAAAGGACACCGCTAGCTAGATGATAACTTCTCACGGGGACGCACAGTTAGTAACCTTTTTTAAAGTAAAGCAACCGGAAGGCAGTACGTTCTTTATTCTGAAAATCTCAGGAGCTTCTCTCCATTCCCGCGTCCGATTTCCTGTCTTTCCTTCCCCAAAAATGTCGAATTTGACCCGTTTCAGAGGCGTCGCGCGTAGAAAATAGAACCGGCGCGTAAAGGCCGCGACATGCGGCTCCTGAGACGCGGCGGACTCGCGCTGCCGACGGCTCCAGCTTCTGTTGACCACAGCGGTTCCTATCAGCAGCTATGACGTGCTGCTGCAGTAACGTGCTGCTGACGGCTCCTGTGGAAAGCCGGGGTAAGTGTGTGAATGGATGAATGATACGCTGTAGTGTAAAGCGCTTTGGAGTCCTCTGACTCGGAGAGGCGTTACATAAGTCTGGGTCATTTATCATTTATGAAATTAAACCCAACAGAGTGTTCCGACTGGCCAGGCACAAAACTGTTCGAGCCAATGGTAGACCTGCTGAGATTGGCATGGCTAGCAGCTAGCGTAGAGAGACAGACCAGCAGAACAAAATACGCTTGCTACTGCTACAGTTGGTCTACATTTCTAGGTCAGTAAAGCACCTGTGGCTTGTTGTGTTTTGGGCCATTCCCATCTGTACCGGGTCGGCCCAGGCCGGGTAGCCCCAGTCGGCCCCAGCCTGGCCCGGTTGTTTCCACACATCCTTGCTTAGGTATGCAAGGAATGCAGTCAGAGACACTTTCAGCTTCTGGGTAATCAGCATGATAATGAATGATAATGAATTGAGCATGCCTTAAGTCCATGTGGGCTGATTCTACCCACCAATCAGAGGCTTGCTCTAATGGAAGGTGTGAATTTGCTGTCAGCAGTGGGTGTGTTGGCTCTGGTCGGCCTGAAGCAGAGCCCCTCGAGAAGAGGGCTGAGGATGAGCCTTGGTTGGCCCGGAAAAATACCAGGCCATCCACATGTGTAAACAACCTACGCTACCCGGCCCGGGCCGACCCGGTACAGATGGGAATCAATCAATCAATCAATCAATCAAAGCTTTATTTATATAGCGCCTTCCGCAACCCTGTCAGGAAGCCCAAAGCGCTGAACATGGTACAGTTGTAAGCAATTATATTGAATAAAACAGCAATAAAAGAAATTCAAATTACAAAATACAAAATGGAAATTACAAGATAGATGAAACATTCCGGTAAAATCCAAATGTGTGAAACACATTTGGATTGAGTGGATGGATTGAGTGTACCAATGAAAACTGTGGAATGGATTCAACATAATAGAGGGCCACAATCAAACATGTTCTGGAAACGCCAAGCGGAGGAGTTGTGTTTTTAGGTGGTTCTTAAAGACTGGCAGAGAAGGGGACAGCCTAACTGAGGGTGGCAACTGGTTCCAGAGTAACGGTGCTAGGACTGAGAAAGCCCGGTCCCCACGGGTACGACACCTAGACCGAGGGACAGCGAGCAGGCCTTGGTCAGAGGAGCGCAGAGCGCGTGATGGGGAGTGTTTGTTCAGGAGTGTGGCCAGATAGGGGGAGCACTACCCTGGAAGAAATGATAAACAAAGACGAGTATTTTGAACTGTGAGCGATAGCAAATCGGAAGCCAGTGCAGGGAGGCCAGAACTGGGCTGATGTGGTTCCGTTTCCTGGTCCCAGTCAGGAACCTGGCAGCGCTGTTCTGCACAACCTGTAGGCGACGCCCTTGAGGAATGGCCCTTGAGTTCTGTTTTAAATCCAGTCCTTGTTTGTTTGCAGATGTGAGCAGTAGTAGTGGTAGCTCTGGGGATGGAACTGAAACCACCACACCAAAACCCTTTGGGGGTTTCTGTACACTTTGACCTGCTGGGTGGGTCATCCATAGAGCAGAACAAACCAACTTAAATCCCACATGGTTAGCAGGTCTACAATGCAGGTTTAAAGCAGCTTCGCTTCACATTCTGATTATAAAAGTGTGAGTCACTGCCATCTAGCCAAAAGCCAAGAGCTGAGACCAAACCACAAGAGCAAGTCATACACATTCAGACCAGAGGACATGAATAATAAAACACTCACTTGCAGGTTGCTTAAATGTGAACTCAGATCAGAGATTCTGGCTTTGAGGGCCAATACCAGTTCCCAATTCTCCTACTCTGTCCTGCCAAAACAGTTTGTTCACATCTGATTTATCTCACTGGAGCAGGGAAAACACAGGTTTGGCACCAGATCTAACACTCATTCTGATAAAGATGCAGATAAATGAACAGATGTTCACATTTAACTCTTCAAACAGGAGAACCCTGTCCTCCCAAAACTCCCTGGAAAAAGAGAGGTGTTTTCCCAGATGCACCAAAGTTGGGGGAGCAGTAAATCACCCTGAAGGCACTACTGACTGACCCAGAGAACACCTTATGGATGAGCTTTCTTCACATCCTGACAGGCCTTGTGCAGGAATCTGCTAATAACAGAGCTGCATGAGAACAGGCGGTACTTGGAGGCGGCAGCAGTGGCAGGATGTTTCGGTTTGGCTCCATAACAATGCAGCAAAAAGGGGGAGAAGTTGTTTCCTATGAAGCCTGGCAGATGTTTCCTCTTTCAGGGCTCCTGTTTAAATGAACATGCAGCAGGATGGTGGCTGCATGCGTTCAACCTGGAGCCCAAGCGTGCGAGGCTGCAGCTCTCCTGCATCTGCATGGCTTCTGCAACCAGCTCACAGCCATCCACACTTGACCCATGAACAGGAGCAGTAATACAGATGTGTCACTGTCACTGGCTGGGGAGAGACGCGTCTTCAGTGTGTGCGTGTGGTGTGTGTGTGTCAGGATGAGACATGTTGGAGCTGAACCCCGTCTTACCAGAGAGCATGACCGATGCGTTCGAAGGTCTCCATGGTCCTCTTCAGCTGATAAAAACCTCCCAACGCGACACTCACCAACAATAAATAAATAATAATAACATCAAATCCCTTCTAAAAGAACGCTACGGTTGTCAAAATGTGCGTAAATTGGTCACGCGTACGGAAAACAGTCCCCCGTTCATCATCATGGTGGCTCAGTAATTACAATTCACCAACAGCCTCCAGACCTCCGCTACTGACCGAATCAGACCCGCTATTCTCCGTCACACAGCCTGCTGCTGAGGCCCCTCCCAGATCACACACACACACACACACACACACACACACACACACACACACACACACACACACACACACACACACACACACACACACACACACACACACACACACGACTGCTTCTAACAGGTAATTAATGCTCTTGTGGATATTTTATGATATTACAGGACCTGATGGGACAAAAGAAATCTTTAATATTTAAATCCTAGTTGAAATCATACAAAATACACAATAAAAGCTGGTTTATTGAAACGTGTTGGGTGAAGGTTTAGTTTAGGACGGTGTCTTTATATTTGGTTAATGCCCATTGGAGATGTTTGTCTCCCTCTTGTGGTTGTGGACTTACATTACAGCAAACGTGTCCAAACCTAATCAAAGAAACGGTGCATGCATCTAAAAATTCCTGTGTGACATTTTTTATCTTTAATTTCTTTAAAAAAACACAAATTATAAGGAAAATAAAACTAGTAAGTATAATTATTATAATTGTATCTGCTGTTATGAATAAATACATTTTTAACAGAGGAGGGAAAAGACTGAGAAACATAACAAGTCCAGTGTTTAATCATTATTAAATACATTTGTTGATTACTTACAACTTGATTTTGTGAAAAAGATAATAAATGTGTTCTTTTAACAACAAATAAAATCTCGTATTTGGATTTCTGTAAACAAGCATGTTGTAATGTCCCTCACTAGCCACATGGGGGCGACAAATAACTGGTCACAGATACAAGAAACAGACTGAAATACAACTAGTTGCTTGTTTTTATCACAATAACGAATTCGTTTCTTAATTTACCATTTTGAAACTATTACATTTTTTATTTTCCATCATTGGTTTATGATAAATAAGTCAGATGTAGTGTAGCACAGTTAGTTTTCTGTCTTTAGTTTGTATGTTGAATGTCCTCGAGGCACATGAAATGTGCCAGAACCGCAGGAATAAATCTGTTACCTGATTGAAATCAGGTAACAGATTTTAACATTAGCAAGATAACAACCAAATAAAGAAACACGAGATCGGTTTGGGTTAGGGTTTGGAAAATTATGAACATGAATGTGTTTAATGTTCCAACATCCTGACAGTGTCAAGTAAAAGGTCAAATTATATTTATGTATTACATTTGGTCACTTTGTGATATTTTCAAAATTATGACAGCAGTAACTCAGGAGCTAGAGCAGGTTGCAGCCAGGTTTGACACCGGTTCCGACCAGATATTTCTGCTGTTGTGTCCTTGGGCAAGACATTTAACCCACCTTGCCTGCTGGTGGTGGTCGGAGGGACCGGTGTCGCCAGTGCGCCCCAGGGCAGCTGTAGCTACATCGTAGCTCATCCCCACCAGTGTATGAATGCGTGTGTGTGAATGGATGAATGACAGGTCGGGAAGAGTTAAACGAGTGTGGGTCATTTATCATAAGCTCTTAACAAAAAGCCTGTCACCCAGACTAGTTACTAGCAACAGAACATATAAATACAAAAAGTCAAATAATCAAAATGTTTTATTTCATAGACTGACAAAGTTTCGTCAGCTGAACGTAAGACATGTTGAAAATTCAGAAAAGTTTCACATTGTCAGAAAACCCAAAACATCTCAGAGGACAGGAGCGACCGGAGGCTTCACTCCCAATCCAACTTAAATATGACATAAATGCTGGAACGCCCAGGAACAGAAACGTGAGAAGAAGCCTGTTGATCTCTGTACATTACTCACTCACACACACACACACACACACACACTCACACACACACATTCCCCAGCAGTCCTAACCAACTCGAGCTCTCAGCTTCTCATTGGTTTTGACTTCAGCCTCATCGTGACTAAATTAGCCGAAGTCAGCTAAAATGTGCCTCACTTGCTTTTAAACGTGTAAAAGCATCAGAATGAAGAGGTAGGCTATTGCTTTGTTTAGGAGAAACCAACGATTTACATCAATATTTGGTAAAACTTCCAGTAACTAACTGATATTTTACTGCATGATCAGAACAGCAGAGGAACCCAACGGGTTGGTGAGTGACTGGTTTCTAAATGACCGATTAAATCGTTGAAAAAAATAAAAATAAAAAAAACCTGCATCAGTTAGAAAAAGAAGGGAAAATCAAAAGGCCCAGATGAAAGTGTGTGTGGGTGGAGAGGTAGTGTTGTGGCGCTGACGGTGTGTGTTGAGGCCTTTCCCAGCAGGCAGGTTTGAGAACAGACCAGTAAACCCAGTAAGACGTTACGGTGGACGCTGACAGGAATGCAGAGGAGCCTCTCTAATGCTGGAGGTTGTAAAAGCAGAGCTGATGGATGTTGTGACATCAGACCACCAGGTGGACCCTCAGACCCCACCCCCTTTAATGAAACATGAAGAACAAGCCGAAGCGGAGTAAACTCTTCCAGCCGCTGAAATTCCTTTGGTCAGAGGTCAAGTCTGTTGGGTGTAATGATTATTATCGTGGCCCCGACAGTCTAAAGTCTCCGCAGCGCTCTGCAGTTGACGCAGACGGGCTCGTTCTTCTTCACCAGGAACTCACAGGTGGCGGCCCGCTCCAGAACCACCGGAGTGTTGGGAAACATCAGCTCCTTCAGCGGTAGTCCGTGGCAGACGATGTACCTCTCCAGGGTCAGCAGCAGGCTCACCACCTCATTGGCGGTGCTCAAGCGTCCTGGGAAGCTGTTGTAGATGGAGTGTGTGGGGAGGAGCGGCTGCTTCTGGACCGTGATGTAATAACAGAAACTCGGGTCGATCAGCACCACGGTGTCTGCCATGCTGGACTGCTTGGAGCACTGAGTGAGCTGCAGCTGGGGCCCCTCCACCATTATAGCGTACCATAGGATGGGCAGCACGGAGGAGCGTAACGAGTGGAGCAGCTGCGTCAGCTGGTTCTCCTGGTCCACGCCCGCCTCGGCCGGGTTGTCAGCCAGACTGTAGATCTGGGTGATCTGCAGGGACAAGGACGTCAATTATTACCGTCCGTCTGCAAAACGACACCGACCACACACATCATCCCTGCGCTTACCATCGGTAGCTCTTCCTCCTCCACCTGGTTTGGAGCGTCTCTGCTGGTGTCCCATCGGAGCTGCAGTGACAAAGTCAAACCATCTTTGTTAGACTTACATATGGAAGAGACGATTGTTTAATGAAGTAAAAACACGTCAGCCGCCATGTTTCGTGCTAGTTTTACACCAAGGCCTGACGTCCCTCCCTCTGTACGCGTGAGGCTGCGCTACAGTGTTAGCCATTTAGCTAGGGCAGACATCGGTCATCCTCGTCCTTCTAGATTAGAGGTTTGACCCGTTGGCTGGTTAACAGGGATGTGTATTTTTGAAATTCTGGCGATACGATACATATCACGATACAGGGGAGACGATACGATATATCACAATATATTGTGATACATTCAGTCAGACGTTACAAGCAATTTTTTTTACTGAATTTATTGTAAGAATGTTCAATAAACAGTCCAAACTGATACGTAACATGTTTAACATGAGGTATCTGACCCATGATGGAGGGATTTACATTTCAATAGTGGAAACAAAACCCATTGCACACTGCTGCCAACTAGCGGGTGGCGATTGAATTGCACAAAATGAAAAGAAAATACACAAAAGTTTGTATGTAAATTCTTTCAAGAATTAGATACAAGGCTTTTGAATATCGATGTAATAATCGCAGGAAAAAATATCACGATATATTGTCAATCGATATTTCTGATACACGGCTTTTGAATATCGATATAATATTGCTAGAAAAAATATCACGATATATTGCCATATCGATATTTTCTTACATCCCTACTGGTTAATCTGCCCAGAACCGCTGCAGGAAACGAAGAGAGGGCTGACGGCTAGCGAGCTCAAACAGCATCTAACTAGATCTAGTATCTGGACGAAGCGGCGCCAGACAACACCTGACCCGTGTGTGTCTGGCGCAGGAGGAGGTGAACCTACTGGCTGAGAGTAGTTATGGTTGCTGATGTGGGGGTGTCGGTCCGGCAGCCCGTTCCCCACTCCGAACTCTGAGTGATTCAGCTGCAGGAATAACAAACACGGATCAGACTACAGTTGCACTCCAGAACCGCGAGAGCAGAACTCGGTTTTCCCACCTGCATAGGTGATTGGTAGTTTTTGGCGTTCCCATCAGAGGAGAGTCTGGTCCCCCTCCCAGGATCTGAGCTCCAGCACATCTACGAGGGAAACACAGATCCGAGCCGCATTATCAAAGCAGACGTCTTCTAACCAAAAACAGAGGCGCTGTCCTTCGGACACCCACTTGTTGTGACCGACTGTCCTCGTCCTCGTTGTCGGAAAAATCCAGAGCGGACGGCAGTCCCCTGCTTCTCTTCGAGCCATCCTTGCGGCTGTAAGTGTAGTGAGGTCTGGGCCTCCCTGGCGGCTGCGGCCCGTCTGGAACATGCTCGCTCATTCCCATCTGGAAGGGCAACAAATGTCTCTGGGAAAATAACAGCACGGGAATGTTTACGCCTAAGCGCTGATCCACAATAAATAGATAATCTAGAGGATGAAGTGGCAGCGTCCCACCATGGCTTGTCTCTGACACTGCCGTAGTCGACACTTCTGCCTCTTTTTGTTGCTGCCTCCAAATTTGGGTTTGTCCACGCAGAAATCGCACGTGCCGCAGTCTCTCCTGCACAGACAGGCCTGGCATTCTCCACAGGAACGCCGCTTCCGCTTCTTATGCCACTGGGAACGGGAACGACGGGGCAGAGACAAAAAGACAGGGTTTAGTTAGCGAAGACAAGCTAGGTCTCACATCATTTCTATGCGGATGACTGTGTACTTTATTCATCTTAGGTGTGTTCTTGCTGTGTATTAGTTCTAATTCCATGCTGTCATTCTTTTTTTGTTAAAACACAGAAACGGTTTCGTTACCTGTTTTCGCCGCCGGCGAAACGTAGCGACAAAACAGGTAACGAAACCGTTTCTGTGTTTTAAAAAAGGAAAGACAGCATGGAATGTGTACTTGATTGTTTTGAGAGGTCGTTGGACAACGCTTAGATTGAGCGGAGGCTGAAGCACCTTCGTTTGGCGTTGAATCCAGAAAAATCACAACGAACGCTCTTCTCAAATTCATGTACAAATCTGACAAACGATGTCTCTTTAAGAACTTCACAAGGTACGACGACTGAAACGGTTTCTCATCTAAAACATCTTGGAACAATAATTGATAGACTTGACTTTTAAAGAACCTATTTCTCATTTACGAACCTAACTTCAAGCCAAGCTTGTGTTTTTATTCAGAAATAGGAAATGCTTTTCTTTAAAGGCGTGAAGGACATTTGGTGGGTGTTACCTTCTCGCCAGTCGCTGGTTACGGGGATGTAGTGTATAGGACAGCAGCAAAATGCCACCCATCAACCCTGGACGCTTTATATCACAGTGCATTACGGTTTATAACTGGAGCATCTTATCGCACACATCACTGTGAGTTATATTGAACTGCAGCATTACCACCTCTGGAAAATAGGAGGGAAGCGCACTGGTTAACCCTGGTATTTAAGACTACAGGTGCTGGCCAGTAAATTAGAATATCATCAAAAGGTTGAAAATATTTCAGTAATTCCATTCAAAACGTGAAACTTGTACATTATATTCATGCAATGCACACAGACCAATGTATTTCCAATGTTCATTACATTTAAATTTGATATTCATAAGTGACAACTAATGAAAACTCCAAATTTGGTATCTCAAAAAATTAGAATATTCTGAAAAGGCTGAATATAGAAGACACCTGCTGCCACTCTAATCAGCTGATTTACTCTAAACACCTGCAAAGGCCTTTAAAAGGTCCCTCAGTCTTGTTTTGAAGGCACCACAATCATGGGGAAGACTTCTGACTTAACAGCTGTCCAAAAGACAATCATTGACACCTTGCACAAGGAGGGCAAGACACAAAAGGTGATTGCTAAAGAAGCTGGCTGTTCGCAGAGCTCTGTGTCCAAGCACATTAACAGACAGGCGAAGGGACGGAAAAAATGTGGTAGAAAAAAGTGTACAAGCTCTAGGGATAACCGCACCCTGCAGAGAATTGTGACGACAAACCCATTCAAAAATGTGGGGGAGATCCACAAAGAGTGGACTGCAGCTGGAGTCAGCGCTTCAAGAACCACCACGAGGAGACTCATGAAAGACATGGGATTCAGGTGTCGCATTCCGTGTGTCAAGCCACTCTTGAACAAGAAACAGCGCAAGAAGCGTCTCGCCTGGGCCAAGGACAAAAAGGACTGGACTGATGCTGAGTGGTCCAAAGTTATGTTTTCTGATGAAAGCAAGTTCTGCATTTCCTTTGGAAATCAAGGACCCAGAGTCTGGAGGAAGAGCGGAGAAGCACAGAATCCACGTTGCATGAGGTCCAGTGTAAAGTTTCCACCGTCAGTGATGGTGTGGGGTGCCATGTCATCTGCCGGTGTTGGCCCACTCTGTTTCCTGAGGTCCAGGGTCAATGCAGCCGTCTACCAGGAAGTTTTAGAGCACTTCATGCTTCCTGCTGCTGACCAACTTTATGGGGATGCAGACTTCACCTTTCAACAGGACTCGGCACCTGCACACAGTGCCAAAACCACCAGCACCTGGTTCAAGGACCATGGTATCCCTGTCCTTGATTGGCCAGCAAACTCGCCTGACCTTAACCCCATAGAAAATCTATGGGGTATTGTGAAGCGGAGGATGCAATACGCTAGACCCAACAATGCAGAGGAGCTGAAGACGACTATCAGAGCAACCTGGGCTCTCATAACACCTGAGCAGTGCCACAGACGGATCGAGTCCATGACACGCCGCATTACTGCAGTTATTGAGGCAAAAGGAGCCCCGACTAAGTATTGAGTGCTATACATGCACATTCTTTTCATGTTCATTCTTTTCAGTTGGCCAACATTAGAGAAACAAACATTTTTTCATTGGCCTTTAGAATATTCTAATTTTCTGAGATACCAGATTTGATGTTTTCATTGGTTGTCACCTATAAATATCAAATTTAAATGTAATGAACATTGGAAATACATTGGTCTGTGTGCATTGCATGAATATAATGTACAAGTTTCACGTTTTGAATGGAATTACTGAAATATTTTCAACCTTTTGATGATATTCTAATTTACTGGCCAGCACCTGTATTTTACATCTAGTCCCGGCCTATTTAAGTAAGAAAATGTCTTAACAGGAGTCGGGCGTTTACTTATCAAGCTCCAAGTTCCTGGTCAGAGGTCCAGGTAACTTTAAACATGAGCTCGGTGACTCCTCTGTCACATTTCTTGAAAACGATTCATGATCGCGTTAACACTCAGACAGAAAACTGCTCGTGTTTTACTACAGTGAAGTAATTACTGGTAACTTTCGTGGGCTAAAATTAATTCAGACACCTGGACGATTGTGTAATTAAGTATCTTTGTTCTTATGTCACTGTTATTGTTGTACGTGTTGTAAGGGTCTCCCTTGTTTTACTATGTAGTTGGATTGTACCGTATGGTTCAGTGTGCATATGCGGCGTTCACATGGCGCCTCTTGGCCAGGTCACCCTCGCAAAAGAGGTTTTAATCTCGGTGGGTTTTATCTGGTTAAATAAAGGTGATGATGATGATGATGATCTGGTTCTGGACAGACGTGTCTGCATAAGGCCGACCCAGATCAGATGTGACAGGTGCGCTCCTCCTCCTGGTGCTGCCAGGGCTCCCGGCCCGCAGGTTGTATGTCTCTTGCTCCAGCACACCTGATCGATGGTTTTATCACCTCTTTACCATGCTCAAGTCTGCAGCAGCCATTTTATTCATCACTGGTTGAAGCGGGTGTGCTGGAGCAGCAGAAGGGAGGCCCTAGAGCTGGTGATTCCTGGTCTGACGGCTGAGACGCAGCTTCAGCCTCTGGTGGGTCTTCTAACAGACCCACCATCAATCTTCCCGTGTAAACTCACGTCGTCGTCGTCGTCGGTCGACATCTCCTCCTCGTCCAGATCCATGCTGGCTGCAAAGTTTTCTGTGTCGCTGCTTCTGAAGCTCTGGTGCTGTGGGAGGAGCCATATTGTACATGTAAGTTTCACCTCCGGAGACACAAACGGCGTGTGAACACACATCCAAGTGTTACCTGTGAGTCTGTGACTTCATTCTGTAAAATCAACAGCAAAAGTTAGAAACGTACGGGGGCGGTGAAGCAGAAAACTTCATGTTTATGGGTTCTGCTACCTGGAAGTTTAAGTCCTCATCATCAAACATTTCAGAGCCGTCGGCGAAAATCATCCCAGCGGAGAGGCTGCTGCTGGCCGGGTTCTGATGGGACAAACCACCTCGGGTGTGAGCAGCGGCAGGAACAGCAGCGTGAAGCAGCGACAGCGCGGGCTCACCTTGCGGATGGGGCAGATGCACCTGCGTTTCCGACACACGCGTTTCTTGGCTTCGGGGCTCTGAAGTCCGTGTTTGCAGTTGGCACACTGCCCACAGTTGACTGAGTTGTGACACCCCACACACTGACCACACGGGATCCACTAGCAGACAAACAGCCACACACTCGTGTTATCGTTTGTGAGGTGATCTGTAAAAACTGTTAGCATGTTAGCATGCGCTCCTGCTGAGCAGGTTTACCTTTCTGAAACGGATCAGCGGATGCACTTTAGACTTTGACGATTCTGTTGTATGAATGAAACAGAGAAAAGGGGAAAGTTTCAGAGTGTTTCTTTTATTGTAGGTCACATGTAGCTCAGTGTGAGGTCTGCACACCCGTACCCCAGCACGACGGACAGCAGGGCCTCTTCCTCTGTTTGTCGTACCAGGTCCCCGTGAAGGAAACGCCACATTTGGCACAAACCCTGCAGACAAACGAGATAACTCGTGATGTTCTAAGCTAGGCTGAAGACTAAATATAGAAACAGATTAACGCAAGTAGCGACAGACTCACAGAATACTGTCCTCTGCCCCGAATTCTCCCTTTACTGACGGAAGGGGGAGCAGCCGGGATGAGGAGGGAGGAGGAAGCTTGATTTTCTCCACCACCGGCTGGTATTCGTGGCTGGGTTTGTAAGTTCCTGATGAGCTGTTGCAGGAGACGCTGGTCTGGATCTGCTGCTGTTTGATGTTTGGGGTGAGTCTGTGGTAGGAGTCCGGAGTATCCGCTCCGTCTCCTCTCTCCATCCAGCTGGACTCTGACGAAGAACGCTCCCGAACCTTTTTCTACAACACCAGTGTTAAAATGTGACCGAAGAACAAGCGTTAAGTCTTGTCCGATGAGACTGATTAAAAAAGCACCTTGACTCTCTGTCGAATTCTGAAAGGCGTGGCGTTGCCCTCATGAAACATCCCCGTTTTGAAATCAAAGTGTGACAAGTCCAGGCTCCCCTGGACCACCGTGGCCAGCTCCACTCTGCTTCTCACCCGGTGACCCTGCGGACTGGACGGAGAACAGTTAGAAACTCTTAACAACTACTTTTGCAGCCGTTTCTTTCAAGCAGATTTTCATGGCTGATCCGAACCCCAGCTGAGCATCTTAAACTGCATGCATTCATCTGACACCTGAGCCAAACAGATAACCACTGTTTGTACCTCATGTAGTAAACATCCTTCTGGCCAACACTTGAGCCCGAGCGTCGGACAACCTCTTTCCGTTTCCAACCTTCTCCGAGCGACGGGCAGTCCATCCATCCCTCATCACGGTGGGCTCGCTTACGCCGATACCCCTGGATTCTAAAATCACAAAGACGAGGAGGAACAAATATCTTCCAGTCACCCAAGATTTAGTCAGATTAGGACCTTAGATGTGCTTCATCTCATCCAGAATTATTCATGCACCTGAAGCATAAACAGTCCCGTTCCAGTCTGAAGTTTACAGTTGTGGAATTATGGGTAATAATTTACTGATTTGCATAGAAACAGTATGTAGTGGATAAACCAGTGTAAGAGAAATCAACTTACATACGGATCTTTGAGGCGACTCTCTCGCTGCCTGCCACACTCTCAGCTTCTCCTGCCAGGCTTTCTTCATCTGGGTCCTGTAGGTCAGCACTAACAGCATCATCATCTTCTTCCAGTGGCTCGAACCAGTCCACTGGTGGTTCACCAGCGGCAGCTTTAACCCCATCTTTGTCATCTTCAGGGGTGTCCTCCAGCAGGACTGGGGTGGAGCTGGGTATCTCCTTCAGACCTTCTGATGGTGCTGGTTCCTTCTCAGGATTCTCCTCGGTGTTGCTTTGTCCCACATCTCCTCCCACTGGCTCGCTGCCAAGGAGCTGCGGCCTCTCCACCCCTTCCACGCTCATGTGTGCACCAATCTATAAAACAAGCCGTCCGAAGTGTCGTTTTCCTTGCAGAGACGCGGTTCTACTGACCAGCCCGCATCCCGTTCACAGCGTGGTGCCTTCACGGGCCAAGATGGTGGAGCCGCTTGTTCCCGGTCTCTCAGGTGTTTCAATCTTTTGCTCTTCAATTTCCTGTGATAAACCCTTCAAAATAACAGTTGTTTACAAACATAGATTAAATACAACAGACTCTTTATAGCGTGCATCCCGTCTGACCAGTTAGCTGAAGTTACAGTAAACTTACACGGCTAACTAGCTAGCATAGGAATGCAGCCACCATTGATAGCCGCCGAACATAAACGTTAGCGGAACCGGAGCCCCTTTAAGCTCTAAACTACCTATCATGACTCGTGATCACCGATTACGATTAGGCTAAGAACCGTCAATCAACGATCCACAACGCAACAGCCAATAAAGACACAACACGCCCACAGCAACTAACGTTTGCAAAAATTAGCATTAGCATCTTTTTTTGGTAGGTCTCAGTGCCGGTACATTAAATTTTAAACAGCAGAGTTATTGTTGACTCTACCTTTCAAACACATTTTTCTAAGTGTCTCGAAGAAAAGTCTAGTGTCTTTCTAAAGCCTCTACAGCAGAATTCCCTTAACTTACCGAGGCAGAGCTATGCTAAAGCTAAACTACCGCTGGCAGCGGAAACGTCTTGAGGACAAAGAGTTGTGGAGAGTCAAGATAAATACATCCAGCTCACGTCTCCTTTGTCAGTAAGGACAGACGATCGGGACAGATACATGTCCAATATATGTAAATATACATGTAAACATATCTTTGTTAACATATATGTACATTTATAGATTGGCTTGCCTGATTAAAGATTATTATTCGGCTTTGACTTACTCTGTATTTCAGAAACATCTTTAAATATATAGGTGTGTAAGCAATTTTATCCAGGATCAAAGTTTGGACTATGAGTCCGGATTAAAGAAATCTTGACTTGAGTATTTTTTTTTTCTGCTTTAAAAATCCAGATGAGGGAAAAGCCGTAAGAGGGCGGAAATGGGGGAAGGGTTTATCTTGCTTTGACTGTTCTCTTTGATAATTCTCGTCTTCAGTGGTGCGTTCACTGGCTGTCATAAACAGAGCCTTGTTAACTCAGACCAAATTGAAAGATAAATAAAAGTAATATTTCTCTGTTGTTTTAGAGGGTTTACCTTGCAGCCCACTCAACCAGCTACTCAGCTTCTTTGCTCTGTCATGGCCTCTAACCTTCAAACGGAAGCCTGTAGAGCACGAGACCCGCTCACATGCCCCGCCCCCAATTTCTCCCGCTGAAAAAAAATTATCTAATTGATACACATTGCGTGGCGCTACTGTACACACCGTGTACACACTCCCCTAATTACAGCCGATGACTGTATGCTACAGCACAAGTTCAGCTTATGCCAGTGAGAAGAGGAAATTGATGCCCTCCAGTGGCGAAAAACTAGAAAACAATGGTTCTGTTATACTGTACCCTTTAGAGTGGTTCCCAATCTAGGGTCCGTGATCCCCCAAGAGGTCTCCACAAGATTGCAGAGGGTCCCCTGAATTTTGTCTGAGCTGAGGTTACACATATATGTAAAAATTGAATTTATAAAATCCCAATAACACACCCAATGTACTCAAGATCAGAGGCGGTTTTACCATTAGGCATAGGTAGGTGGCCACCTGGGGCCCCCTTGTGTTGGGGGGCCCCCTAGCCCTGACCACCAGCACCCCTCTGTTAATGCCACAATATTCTTATTACCAACCTGTGGCCGCAGACGGGATTGGACATGCGCACTTCTCATTACCATAATTCCTGAACCGTTCAAGATATCATTAAAATTCCAAAAGTGCTGAAAAGATTAAAAATGGGGCTTTTCGTGCATATACAATACATTACGGTAGCCACTGGGATTCCCTGTCTTGAGCGCACCGAATCACAACAAAGATCAGAGACGTGCTGAGTTTGTCTTCCAAAATGCTCCGTTTTATAACTTTTGAATGGCTGATCAGATCCAGGAAATTCCAACGGTTCTTAAAAGTACATAAAAGCAGCTTTCCACGATCTATGGCATGAAGCAATCAGAGTTAGGGAAAATATCGCTACGAGGGGAAATCCTGCTGTACAGCCTGATTGAAACGGAGCGCAGCGCCGCGGTGAAAGCGGATAATGGAACGGAGAAGCCAATTAGCATAAGAAGCCAGCATGAAATTATAGAAATGCCTCAAAGAAAATCAACACGATCTATTAGTTGTCCCAGAAGGCTTACATCTGAAGACAGTGACCATGAAGAAGGACAGATCTCCGGTGAACCAGGATATGAATGTTTGTTCAGTCTTTATATTTTATTTGAACAACCCTCAACTATTTGATAATTGTAAGATTCAGCTTCATTCCAGCATTATTTATCTTTTTACAATAAATGATTATTTTTGCTAAAACAAATGTTTTTGGTATAGCAGTGCACGGTGTGCAAGAGAAGCACTCCATGGCAGTGTGAGATGTGCAGGACTCTGCCTGCAGCTGGAGAGAAACTGCTTCAAGGTCTACCACATCAAATACAAACGTCTGAAAGTTTACAAAAATAAAGTCTTAAAAACTGCTAAAAAAGATACTGGTTCACACTTTTTTAAGAATAGATGCATTACAGTTCAAAGTTTAAATTGTTTGCCCAGTAATTTTGAAGTTCCTGTTCAGTAATAACTGTAAAAAATTCAAATCCGTTTTTTGCTTTTTTCACTTTTAAGCTGATTTTTTAAAGGCTTTAATAGAAATAAATTCTAAATAGAAGATGACGAATAAAATATCATTTCTATAGCGCCTGTCAAGATAAAAATCACGAGGCGCTTCACAAAAACAAAAATATAAATATAAAAAAGCATTTAGAAAATGTTTAAAAATATATTTAAAATGAGCAAAAATAAACAACTGGGATTTAAAAGAAAAAATGTTAAGAAAGAGAGAGAGTGAACAGGAAAGAGGGAAATCAGTGGATCCTGAGGAAGGTGGAATAGGTGGGGAGAGCAGAATAAAGAGAGAGTGGTGAAGAAGGTCATACAAAAGCCAGCTTGAACAAGTGAGTCTTCAGCTGCTTTTTAAAGGAGACCACTGAGTCCACTGATCTCAGGCTCAGGGGGAGAGAGTTCCAGAGTCTGGGGGCCACAGGAGCAAATTATCTGTCACCTTTGGTCTTTAGCCTGGTGCATTGCACAACCAGTAGGCTTTGGTCACTGGACCTCAGGGACCTGCTGGGGGTGTAGGGACTAAGAAGATCACCAATGTAAGATGGTGCTTGTCCATGTAAGGCCCTATAGACCAGAACCAGGATCTTGAAATGAACCCTGAAGTTGACTGGCAGCCAGTGAAGCTGGAGAAGTGGCTTCACGTTTCTTTTCGTGAAATGTTATAGTGTTTTGGAAATACAAACCATACACTGAAAGCTGAGGTTGTTCTGAAAAAAGGAGAAGAGTTACACACACTTTGCACTTTTTATTACAATTTTACAGCCACAAGATTAAAAAAAATACCAGGCGGCCCTGTTATAATTATGGTCATAACAGGGTTATTAAGACTGCGATGCACAAACAGGAAGTGATTGGTAGTCATTCCACTCCAATCCAGTTGGTGGCGGTAATGCACCAAATGGTTGTTTGCCAAGTGCCATAAGACCACAAATAAGAATAAGAAGAGAGGCAGGAGCATTCGGAACAAACTCAAAGCGATAGTCAAAACATTAAACATATAATGGAGTTATCCTAGTGGCTCCAATAAGAGAAAGAAGCAGCATGCTTCATAAAAGCTTTTATTTTCACTTCTGAAAGTGACGTCGTTTTTCGATGTAAACATCAAAAGGAAGCAGAAAGGAAAGACAATGGAAAATGTTTAAAGGGAGGAAAACATAGACCAAAATGGAAAATAGAAAAAAAAAAATAACTACGGCTAAAGCACAGGAGCACTGACAGGAAGAGGAAAGCAGAGCAAATATTGAAGGCACTCAAAGGGAGAGAAATACAGCAAAAAAGAGGAGGATTAATAAAAAGGGAAAATAACTCATGTCAGAAGAGGGGAGAGTTTCGCAAATCCAGTTAAAGGTAAGATTGTCGAAAATTTAGTGTAAGGGGCCCCATGTCTGTGTTCGCCTTGGGCCCCCAAATTGCTAAATCCGCCCCTGCTCAAGATACTAATGGCAATTTCACATCTGGGCCAGAACAGACCAGACTGGGTGGTGTCAATCTAGTCCTGCAGCGATAATTTGTTCACACACACTTTTAGGAACGGGGACGTCTACGAGCACATGGGCGGGGCAAAAGTCTGTGGTGTCAGCTCATGGCACAGCATCATTGTCTCCGCATGTGTGTGCTCCTCACAGCAGTGAGGGAAGACAAGAGAGCTGCCTCAGATTCAGTCAGAAGCTACGTTTACGTTTCCGCATCCAGAATATTTCAGTTAACCCACACATCTGATCCGCTCCTGAACCATTAGCAGAAAGGTGTAAGATAACACATTCCCTTTTGGTTTTATAAACGACAACATGGTGGATTCTGCTGTTTTAGAAACTGGTAAAGATGGTTTTTAATATGACCTGAACTGTAAACCCTTACCGGTGAAAGAGGATGAACTTCCCTTTTCAAATGACTAAATATGAAGGAAAACCTTAGGGTTCACACAGCTGGAACTCATTGCTTCTTTCAGCGCCTGTCATTTTTGCTTCTGCACATTTAGACCAACATCCTGGAACCAGCCCAGTTTGGCCGGCGTCAGTATGCCTGGACCTGAAAGCTTAGACTAACAGTTATGCTCTCCATCTCCAGGACTCCAATAAAGGTTTTGTTTGAGTAACTTGGAGCTGACTCAGAGCGATCCTCTGTGTAGGCTGCCCCCGTGGCATGCAAACGTCACTCATAGACATCATCTGTTGAAGGTGTTTATTTAGAATACCAGATTCAAAAATCTGCAGTTTTCTAGTCAGAAAAACTTCAATCTGCCACGGAGAGGAAAATATATATTATCATCCACAGTTTTTGAAAGGACCTTAGAAAACAAGTCACAGTTATCAATCTAAACCTTCTGATCTCTTGTGATTAAAATATGTTATGTACACGGATCTGTAGATCCAAACAGAGCAAAGGACGAGGCTGACTACCGGTCCTTGTTGCTACGGAGATCCGTGGTCACGGGGTCGTGCTGGATGGTTTGGTGCAGCATGAGGGCGAGCAGGCCGGCTCTGTTAGTCATGGCGGTCCTGACGTTACGCTCCTGTTCAAACAGCTCATCCAGCTTGTACCACTGTGCAAAAACACGATGAAAACAATGATTTTATTTATTATTCTGCATCAGAGAATACATAAAAAAATGCCACATTTAGGTAACAACGTTCCCATGGCAACCAGGTAACTCAGGTCTGAGGGTTTAATAGTTGTTTTTATCACATTATCAGAGATAAACATTAAATGACTAAATGACTCTAGCAAAGAAACACATTGAACACTTCCTGGTAGGTGTATCCTTCTATTTATAACTTGAATTGTTGTTGTTATTGTTGTTGTTGTACTAACAAAGAGAACGGACTGTCAGCCTGTGTTTTTATTCTTAGGTTTGTCTTCTCTGTGTTTCCTCTGAGCCAAAGGCAGCTGCGACTCCGTTCTCACCACTCTGACTCTCTCCAGGTCCACTTCAGCTCTCCGAAGCTTTTCCCAGTTGTAATGTTTGTTGCACTTCCTTTTGGACACTCGACAATAATCTCCAGCCAGCTCAAACACGTTCTTCACCAGAGGACACCCACACACCTCGTCTACCGGGACCTGGATGCCAAACAGTACGGGATGAAACCCAGCTTTATTTACATCTGTATGCTGGACACTTTGCTGCTTTAGCCACCAACCTTTGGGTCTCTAGAATGTTCTGGACACAGGACCTGAAGCCTCTTGCAGTACGTTTTGCTCTGAGGGTTGTACACATCACAGAAGAGTCTTGTGGCACTTCAGGGGAGATAATATGTTTATTTGGGGAGAACATTTCCCTAAATGTTGTGCTTTAGAACAGAAATGTTTCTCCTACCCCTCTATTTTTGTAGGAAACATAGAACCAAAGGACGTCTGGCTCTCATACTGTTAGATGAGACGGAAAAAGAATTGTATGCTTGTGTGTTAGGAGATTAATTTTCATGTGGAAGAACACACGCTGCTGAAGGGTTTACCTTAGCGTAGCATCTTTCCATGTGTCTCAGTGCCACTTTCGGAGTGATTAGATGACCACAGGACACACAGAAAATCTGTAGATCGGTATCCTCACTGTCACCTTCATTCACCTGCAACTCAAAAATCTGTTACTGTTCTGCTCTCTAAAGGTGGCGCCATCACACGAGAAACGTGGCTCCAAAGTGCAGCGCTGCACCTCCTCATCCTGCTGAACCGCCTGCTGTTTGGCTTTGGCGATGATGCCCTCCAGTTCATGGAAGCGCCGCTCCATCTCAGTGAGGCGAAGTCGGGCACTCTGCTGTTCCCGGCGGATGCGCTCCAGCTGCTTCTTCCCGTGCTCCTCAGCGATGCACGGACTCTGTTGCCACTGCTGGATACGCTGAGGGAGGATCTCGTAGATGCGGCTGTGGGTCAAAGGACACGAAAATCACTAAATCTCCATCTCCGGATGGAGAAAGCTAGTTTTGATCACACCTGTAATCCCGTTTAGGAAAGTTTCACTTTACATTCAGAAAGATCCCACATCCAGCCATCCAGCTGTCATTCCTTCAGGTTGGGTAGCTGAGCAGCTCCAAAACCCAGACACAGTCTGTGGCGCTCTGACCCCAGACCTTTGTTTACTACAATTTGTGTTTCGATGTATACTAATGACTATTTTATTTATTCATATTACGCTGGTCATGGTAAAGGTTGGGCATCGTGCATCGATTGGAACCGGTTCCAACTGTTAGTTTTTCCCAGAATCATTCAAAGTTTTTTTATTTTGATTCCTAGAATGCCGACGGAAGAGGAACCCGCGGCCGATCTCCGTGAAAAATAAACGTGATCTGCAAATTGTGATCAACGCTTTTCAGAGCTGATCACGCCAGCTGTCTGTGTGCAGCACGAATCCCCCCTCCCCCCACCCAAAACGTGTCTGCCAAACGTTTACTCCGTGATGTAAACTTTAACTCGTGCAGCGTAGAGGAAACTTGTTAAATACGTCAACACGGTGGATTTAATAGAAGCTTTAAAGAACAAACTCTGGACGGTGTGAGGCGAGTTTGTCTCACTGCAGAAATAAAAACACACACGGAGCGTCAGCAGTCAGACGCAGCCGCTCACCAACACTCGTGTGTGTGTGTGTGTGTGTGAGCATCAGAAGGCTGAACAATAACCTGTAGAATTAAAGTCATCATGCTAGAGCAGCTTTCTCTGTGGTGGACCACACCAGCTTCTTCTAAAATAAATAATAATAATTATAATAATAAAAATAATAATAAATAACATTTTAATTTCCTTTCTGAACTATTTCTGTTGAGTTTTAATGTTTAAAATCTGTTATTGTTACTGACAGCAGCTACGTTTAAGTTTCACTTCCTGTTCTGACTGAATGCTGCTGCAGCATGGAGGTGTAGTTTTCACCCCAAAATTCCACTACCTCCGCTCCGGCACAAACTCCGCAGCAAAAACGGTCCCGTTGTAGTCAATCAGAGCTGTTCCACTACTGCGGCCGTGCGGCGCAGTGCGCCGCCCGCCGTTCGGCAAAAATAGGATCAATTATTTTTGCCGGACGCCGAAGCACCTCCGCAGTCAACAAAAAGCGTTTTTTGTTTCATATGCACAGGTTTAACAACTTTTAACAACTATCAGTGGCGGCTGAAGTTTAAATGCACAAAAGTAAGCCATAAATACAGTTTCTACTATCAAAGTAGTCGCACTTTGTTGATCCAAACACGGCTGATCTCTCAACACAAATGATGGGCAGATTAAACAGTTCTTTTCGATGCTTCTCCCACACAACGGGTGTTTGGATCTAACTTCCGCGTTTATTTTTCGGACTGTATCGCAAGATCTCAAAAATCCTGCGCATGCCGTTTTGCGCACCTCAGGTCTCCGCACCGGAGCGGAGCCGTTGTAGAGCGGGTACCAGTAAAAATTGAGTTCGGAAGCGAGCGGCTGCGGAAGGCGGGGGCGAAGCGGAGGTAGTGGAATCTTGGGGTCAGTCATCCTGGACATGATCATCCTGAGAGTTTTAGCTGGAAACAGCTGGACGTTTCTGGATCTGTTGGAGACATTTAGCCTCTCATCCCAGAGGCTTCTTCCAGACTTTGGTTGTGGTCAGAAACAAACACACTGGTTGTGCTGCAAGTATTTTTCTTTTTTTCTCCAAAACATGTTTTTGTCTAAATGAAGGTGATGTTGTTGTTCATAGAATTAAAATTCATGTTGAATTTAAGATTATTTCATCAAGTAGGACCTGTGGTTAGCTGGCTCATGTAAAACATGGAATGTCTTGAAAGAATCGGGAATCGATAGGAACCGGAATCGAAACGAAGAATTGGAATCGGAATCTTTCAAAATCAAGCGATGCCCAACCCAACACATGTCTCCATCATGCTGCTGAATGAAAAATCTGAACCACAGTCTGAGCAGCAAGGCAGCAGTAGACAATGAATAAACTAAAACTATGTGACACATGAGAACTCTTACTTGGCTGCTAATTTCATGCCACAGTCCTCAGAACAGTACTTGGACTTTGGTCTTGCTGCTTCTACACAGTTTGGACCGAGACACTGATGCATCCCTCCACTGTCCCGACAATCGCTCCTCTCAGTGTGTCTGTTCCTGTCTTTGTGCTTTTGTTTCTGCTTGTGGCGACGCGACTCTTTCTGCATTTAATAAAAACAACATAACCAGACAGGATGTTAGCTTACATTTGATCACCATGTCAGAGTTGAGCAGCGTTTGAAGTCATAACATCTTTTTAAAGGAGGTGACTTACTTTCTTCTCAAACTTCTTTTCTCGTCTCTTGACGTGCTTCACCTTTATAGCTTTCTTACGCAGGACGGGACTGAAAGCCGGCTCTTCATCATCTTCATCATCACTACCCCACAACTGTGTGAGGAAAGAGTGAAGCTGTGTTGAGATTAAGTGAATGACTGACAACACTTGCGTTAACAGACTGGCTGTGGCATCATTTCACCATGCTGGCCTCCAGCCCTGCTGCCTTGTACTGCTGGTAGAGATCCTCCTCGCTGTCGTAGTCGTCCGAGTATCGCCTCCGCCTGTGGTGGGAGTTCTCCCGTCTTTCACGAAGAGAGAATTCCTCCTCCTTCACTCGCAGCATTTTCTGTTACAACAAGTTTGATGTGGGATTCTGGTGCAGCAACAGCAAAGTAAACAGAACCACCAGAGACAAGCTGGACTTACTCTGGCTCGAACTTCACACTGCCTGAACCTGCACTTCTGTCGGATTTTGTTAGGTCCACCATACTTCTTCATGTCTTTGCAGAAATCACATTGGGCACAGTCCTCAGTCCTCCTGCAGGGCTCACATTCCCCACACATACGAACCGAACGCTTAACCTGAAGAAGGTGATTACAATAATATACCAACATCAGAGGTTGAAAGCTAAATGCACTACATGTCAACTCATTCTTATTTACCTTAATTTATCATTTTTAACTTTTACATTCCGTTGATTAGTCATAATGATGGAGCTTACTTTAGATCCACGGCGGCGTTCGCTCCTGTAGTCCGGGGTGCTCGGAGTGCTGTACTGTCTTTCACCTTTGTCAGAATCAACTTCCCTGTCACGACTTTTCTTTGACCTATATTTTACTTCCAAAGTTGGGTTGTCCTCTGCCCACCATCACCCAAAGAGTAAACAATAAATAATTGAAACTAACTCAACAAATCAGCAACCACTGCAATAAGCGTGTTTCTTCCCCACCTCTGCAGTTCATGCAGTACCACTCCTGTATCGCTTTGGCCATCTTCTCTGTGATGTTAATGCAGTGCCCGTGGAACCATTCGTTACAACTGTCACAGCCACTAACAGCACAAAACAAGGGTAAAAATCAAGAGTACATAGCATACACTTATCCTAGTAGACAGCGGGACTGGGTGTGAACTTACATCATGAAGCAGTTGATATCCGGCTTACGACAAATGCAGTAAAGGGGAGCATTTTCCCCCTCCATACTGCTGGTCTCAGGGCCTGGTGCAGGGTCAAGGTCAGAAAATTCACTGTCCTGGAGAGTGAAAAATAAATAATGAATCAAACTGGTCTGCGGTTACTTGCTACTGTGACTGCTCTTGTTTTGGCCGCTGCACTAAATATTTACTTACGTTTTAATAGGTTATTAATAGGTACCCTAAACGTGTACAACTCCTGAGTAACTTACGGATTGTTTACATTCGATGAAACAGACAACTTGACATTTATGACAGTTTCATGAACACAAAGGGTATGTTGCGTTTGGAACTGAAGTGGCAGCAGAGAAAGTTTACAATAATACATGAGCAGCGCAGCTCTGACTCACTCAGAAATATAAAGCTCAGAATAACTTAAACGTTTACCAAAATGTTGGCGCAAAAGTTAGCTTGTATTAAAGAAGTAAAAAACTTTTGTTGACCAACTTCATTAACTGATAACCTCGATCAAAAGTTTTTATTCTCTCTAAAAAAGAAGTTTTATAATTTTGCAAACCGTATTACCAAGCGAGTTTAACTAAACGGACCAACGTTACTAAGCTAAGTCAGACAACAGGAAGCTAACTGGGCCGAGCTACATTAGTGGTGTCTCTAAATCATTTTATCATGAGAAAAACCTTATTTAAAATACTAACCATTTTTTTATTTCGCTCGGTCTTTAATCTGAAATTGAAACACACCGACAGCAGACAGGTATCTAGTATACGAAGCGAAAATCCTGCAACTCCACCATTTCTATTATGCTAACATTGACGCGGATGTCACATCGCGTACAATCGGCTACATTCGACAATTTTCGGAAGCGTGACGTATCAATGTTCTTCTTCTATGGTGATAAATTGAAACTAATCAACCTACTGCCAATTGGTGGCGTCTTCATATATTTCTAACACAAAATTACATTTTATATTTTGTAAGTCTTATCTTGTACAAAATAAACACAATTTTCAACATAAATATCAAATATCACTGAATATTTATAGTAATAACAACAACATCTCATATTAGTAGAGAACATGTGTTTTTATTAGCACAATTAGTACAAGAACTTTTGCTCTTTTTTGCGATGATATACCCAAATGCTCATGTGATACCTCAGTTTGTGTGTGTGTGTGTGTGTGTGTGTGTGTGTGTGTGTGTGTGTGTGTGTGTGTGTGTGTGTGTGTGTGTGTGTGTGTGTGTGTGTGTGTGTGAGAGAGAGAGAGAGAGAGAGAGAGAGAGAGAGAGAGAGAGAGAGAGAGAGAGAGAGAGAGAGAGAGAGAAAGGGAGAGAGATAGGTACAGAGAAACAGTGAGGGATGAAGGGATGAAAGATGCTGTTTGATAAAGTTACATTTCCAGTTCCCTGAATGCTGTGTCTGCGATTAGACCCTGGTTGGCGACATACAGAGTGAGTATGATTTACTTCCTCAAAAGCCTCAGAAGCTGGCAATAAAATGAAACAAGCTGCTGTTTTTCTGCATGGTTAGGGTTAGTTTATCAGTGATCAACAAATTTATTTTAAAAGCACATTTGAAAATAATTAAAATGTAGTCCCAAATAAAACTAATTAGATTACCAGTTTTAAAGATCCCAGAATGTTTTTTATTGACATGCTCAGCTTGACACATTGCTATATTCTGGTTAATATGGATGGTTATTTTAATAGTTGGTCTTTAACACTAAAGAAAATATTGTGAAAGGATGAATTTGAATAAAAATACCCACAGTGTCACACAATGTAAATGTTATTAGAGGGCATGAATGATTAATGACAGCAACATCATAATTTCTCTCTCATTTAGCTGTCAGGATGTCAGCACGGCGCTTTTCATCTACTTTTCAAACACAATGTTGCCAAAATGCAGATTAATAATTGATTAACTACTGTGCAATTTCCAAGATGTCCACTCATCACTAACAGCTGAAAAGTCTCAGTTATCGATCTGACAGAACCTCTGAAATGTCAAGAAAAAATCTAGTAGTGTTTCATTTTCATTCACATATGAGAACATAAATAATATTTCTATGTGGGCCACTTCTTGCAGACTTCTGTACAAACTCAGTCAGTGGCAGATTATTTCACTTACTCTAATTTGTGTTGTTCCTCCTAAGAAGTCTGACACAGATGACCTTTCAGAGGAAATGCCATGATGGAGGACCAACTGTATTCCACAACTATGGATGAAAACAAGGATGAGGAGATGCCAATGATTCCATATTCCGATATCTCTGCCTCAAAGTCAAACGACAACGCCACAACTCTAACAGGTACCTTTACTCAGAACCGGGGATTAAAAACAAATTTTGCCTGCAGCTGAACCCTTTTCTTGTCCTTCAGGATCTTTAACAGACGTCAACAGTTTGTCAGAACAGATCTCCGCCGACAACACTGGACGGTCCTCAGCCCCTGTGAGTGGAACAAGTAAGTGGGCTGATTCATTTATGTGATTCCAGAGTTTTACTGGAGTTTTGTTTTGTTCATTTTAATATTTGGACACAGAGGACTCTCCTGCAGAACACGATGTGCAGACGAACTCTAAAACTGGATGGACAGATGCAGAGTACATCCACAGTACGAAATCTGTGAAAACAGATCAGCCAAGACCTCTGCACGTCCTGCTGCCATCCTCCGCAGAGACCAAGAGACTTCCTGAAGCAAGCCCGTCGTTCGCACCAGCAGGAGGTCAGGAAAGCCTGACGACTGCCAGAGTTCACTCAGAGGCAGATGGAGTTGGTAAGCATTCAACGCTGTTAAGTATTTGCCCCCTTGGACATTTCTTTTATTTTGATGCTCCAAAACCATCCAGCAAACACATTTCCTTATTGGACAAGGTGCCCTAAATAAATATACAGGTGCTGATCATAAACTTAGATTATCATGACAACGTTGATTTATTCTATTCGATTCAGTTCAAAGATACTTTATTAATCCCAGAGGGAAATTAGAGAAACAGTAATTCCATTGAAAAAGTGAAACTTGTATATTAGATTAATGCATTCCACACAGATTGATATATTTCAAATATTTATTTATATAATTTTGATGATTATAACTGATAACTAATGAAAATCCTCAATACAGTATCTCAGAATATTAGAATATTGTGAAAAGATTCAATATTGAAGACCCCCTGGTGCCACAATCTAATGAGCTAATTAACTCAAAACATCTTCAAAAGCCTTTAAATGGTCTCTCAGTCTAGCTCTGTAGGCTACATAATTGTGGGGATGACTGCTGAGTTGGCAGTTGTCCAAAAGACGACCACTGACACCTTGCACAAGGAGGGCAAGACACCAAAGGTCAGTCACTGCTAAAGAGGCTGGCTGTTCACAGAGCTCTGTGTCCAAGCACATTAACAGAGAGGTGAAGGGAAGGACAAGATGTGGTAGAAAAGTGTACAACAATAGGGATAACCGCACCCTGGAGAGGATTGTGAAACAAAACTCGTTCAGAAATGTGGCGAGTCACAAAGAGTGGACTGCAGCTAGAGTCAGTGCTTCGAGAACAGATGTGTGAAAGACCTGGTTTCAGCTGTCGCATTCCTTGTGTCAAGCCACTGTTGAACAAGAGGCGCCATCACAAGCATCTCACCTGGGCTAAAGACAAAAGGACTGGACTGCTGCTGAGTGGTCTAAAGTTATGTTTTCTGATGAAAGTAAATTTTTCATTTACTTTGGAAACCAAGGTCCCAGAGTCCGGAGGAAGAGAGGAGAGGCACAGAATCCACTTTGCTTGAGGTCCAGTGTAGTTTCCAGTCGGTGATGGTTTGGGGCGCCATGTCATCTGCCGGTGTTGGTCCATTGTGTTTTCTGAGGTCCAAGGTCAACACGGCCGTCTATCAGGAAGTTTGAGTACTTCATGCTTCCTGCTGCTGACCACCTTCATGGAGATGCAGATCTTATTTTCCAACGGGAGAGTTTAAGGACCATGGTATCCCTGTTCTTGATTGGCCAGTACACTGGCCTGACCTTAACCTCATAGGAAATCTATGTGGTGTTGTGAAGAGGAAGATGCAATATGCCAGACCCAACAATTCAGAAAAGCTGTAGCCGCTATCAGAGCAGCATGGGCTCTCATAACACCTGAGCAGAGCCACAGAGTGATGGACTGCAGTAATCCAGGCCAAAGGAGCCCAACTGAATGTTGAGTGCTGTAATGCTCATGCTTTTCATTTTCATACTTTTCAGTTGGCCAACATTTCTAAATTTTTTTGTTTGTTTTGGTCTTAATTGATATTATAATTTTCTGAGATACTGAATTTGGGATTAGTTGTCAGTTATAATCGTCAACATGAAAGAAATAAACATTTGAAATAGATCAGTCTGTGTGTCATGAATGAATCTAATATACAAGTTTCACTTTTTGAATAAAATTACAGAAATAAATCAACTTTGTCTTGATAATCTAATTTTATGACGGGCACCTGAAAAAAGTAGTTTTAAAATAATGATCTCATATCCAATTTTAGATCAAACTTACCCAGAGCATTGAAAGTCCTGCAGGCATCACTTGGTTTAAGTTAAGGTCAAAGGTCAGGGTTCAACAATAAGAGATGGGGGAAAACGGCCAATGTGTAAAAAGTTCCAAGACCAAAGCCTCTGCCAAAACCACACAAAGACCCATCTCACATTTACCAAACAGTACTTTTATGATCCTAAAAACTTCTGGGTAAATATGGCCGATGAGATAAGAGCGGATCTTTCTGGAAGGTGAGTCTTGTGTCATCCAGAGTAAAACTAACTCATACCAACAGTCAGGCATGGTGGTGGTAGTGTGATGGTCTGGTTATATTGAGTAAATCTGATCCAAACGTGTGAAAAATCTGTAATCTGAAAAGGGGCAAATCATTCATTTCTGTTTCAGCCGTCTCTCGTTTCATTGTCTCACTACTCTCCCATCCTTCTTCCCTACATGAGATATTTGTGCTGCGGTCCTGCTGCATTGCCTGTTCTGTCGTCCTCTGGACTGTCTGCTGGAGACATTTAGAGGGTGCCACATGTGCGTCTGGTCCCTGTGCGGCTGCGAGCCCCCCACCATGCATCCTCTTCTGACTGTCACCCACAGCTGTGACCTGTGTGGGGGGTGCTTCGTGTGCGACTGCAGCGTCTGTGACATCTGCCTTCCAGTCACAGAGTGCCTGGACCTCGCTATGGAGATCTCTCAAATGCTTTACCACTAATATTTAATATCAGTGAGCCAAAAAAAAAAAACAACTAAAAAACAGATGCAAGCCTAAAAAAAATGAAAAAAAAGAGAAAAGAATCATTTATTTGTTAAAATCTTCTGAAAGCCTACTTACAGGGACAAGACACATATGTTCATGGTTAACAGTCAATGTTAAAACTCAAATATATGTCTGCTTTTGACACTTGGGAGATCATTTAGTAAAAGTTGCATATGAGCAGGATCATGAGCACTAGACACATCATGACTCGGCGCGACTCGGTGTGCCACGGAGTTGAGCAGCTCCGAGTTCTGCTGCCTGAAGAGCCCGGGCTGCTTTAAGACCCTAAACACGAGGTTTCTGGCTGCTGTGACTGCCCCTCGGAGAGAAACACTACATCAGAGAGGATTTGTACACACATTCATGATTGCACCGAGCATCTGACTAACTAGATTCTTACTTTGTGCCTGTTCAACCTGACAGTCAGTCACACATTACTCATGTTACTTTACTTAAGAGGTGAGACTAGTGGTTTTTAAAGAGAGTCAAACCCTCTCAAATTCACACCAAAATAAGCAATAATGCGTTTCAGAAATAGCAGGTGATCGTCCAAAACAACACAAACACAACTCGGTAGAAAAACAATCTGTGACCACAAATGTTAATAAAGACAAAAACCAGTGACAACACAGAAATTAGCCATGAAAAACCACTTATCAAACTATCAGGTATAAAAAAGATGAACTACAGTACTGTTGTGAAGTGTACACATACCGCTGCCTTTCTACTCGCTGACGATGTGTTGAAAGGTAAAATGTTGATTTGTGATCTGTAGCTACTCTGGAAGAAATCCTGCTTTGGCTAACTAGCTGCAGCAGCATCGCTGCTAGCATCCATGATGGTGCAGCCTGGGTGGCCTCTGTCCGCTCGCTGGAGCGCTGCTAAAAACAGACACAAAGCTTTCATAAAATGCATAGACTGCCGTAAAGTAAGGTGCAATAAAACTGCTCTAAATAAAATACTCTTATATACAATATGCAGTAAATATCTCACAATGTGCCAATTCACTTAACAAGGATCCCTTCAGTAGCTGCTGGTGAGGAGAGCGACTGATCCTGACAAACCCTGATTCCAGCCAGATAAAGGAAAAGCAAACATTTGGCGTCTCTTAGTGTGTTTGTAATGCCAACGTGGTCACGGAAACAAACCTCACAGCTTTTCTCATCACACATAATAAATGTATATTAGATCTCCAAGTCAAAATAAAGACATCCCTCTTATATCTCTGAATAAACCTTAAAATCTCTATTAAAGAACGTTTCATTTCTTAATGCTAGGTCCATGCCTATTATACAATAATCCATGTTATTAAGATTGCCTCTATAAACTCAGACGTGATCATGTGACCTGTTCCAAGCAGGAACTATGGTAAATACGTGTGTATGGCAAAGTAGTTCTGATTCCACCTCTGGAGTTAGTATGGTTTCTACGACAGCTCAGGTTCAGTCCCCGACAAGACTCGTTAGGAAGGATGCCGACATTCGTGTCCCTACAGACGCTCTTTGACCAAACAGGACTCATCACAAGTCCTCGTCCATGTCGAAGCTGCTCCTGCGGCTGCTGGTTTTTGAGGCACCTGGTGACAGAGGAGAAAACAGCGGCTCGGCTACCCGGTCTGGAGACAGGGCCAACCCGTCGTCCATTAGAATGTCTCCCAGACCGACGTCGGGGTACAGCGCCGAGGCGGACGGGTCATCGAGCTCAGCAAAGCTCAGACTGCCGAGGTCCAGCGGGCTGCTGATGGTGACTCCTGCAGGGGAGTCCGAGGAGGGAGGAGACAGAAAAGAGGTCGGAAGAGGCTGTCTGATGGCTCCCAGGCCCACGAGGTTCTGGGTGGAGGCTCCTGCTACTGGCTGGCTGCTCTGCTGAGCGGCCTGCTGCTGCAGCAGGGAAGGATCAGAACCCAAACCGGAGGAGACGCCGGCCGAGGCTGGGAGTCCGTGGAGCCGCGCCTGCATCTCCAGCTCCTGTCCAGAACATCAGCATGCAGAAATTCAGAGTTAAAATCACTAAAGAGGCTGAAAAATCAAACAAAAGACCATGTTCTGGTGAGATTTAAACCGCCCTGACTTCAAGTTGGAATATTTAACCCGGATAATCCTGCAGGATGGGTCGAGACAGACTACATATTAGGATGATTTTACGCTGATAAAGGAAGAACCTTTGGTTAAAATAACGCCATGCACAATCTCACAGTTTGTGCTATGATCTTCTCTCATCGGGCTTGTGCCTTCAGGAGTCTCCGCAGCCAATCATCTATCTCCATTTAGTCCCATCTACCCTCACACCTTCTTGTTCTCTCTCACCACATCCACAAACCTCCTTGATCGTCCTCTCAGCCTCCAAGAGTTTATGTTGAGACAGAATCTTGACCACAACACCAAACCTTAGCTCAGAGGTCCAGTTTAGCCATTTTTACGTTTTCTAAGATAAATTAGCTGTGGCGGCCGGCCATCTTGAATGGAGTAGACTCCAAAAATGACTCAGCTGGGGAGGAACATCCACTGACTGCGTTCATCCGGTGGTTCAGGAGCTATTTTGCTGACAGAAGGACAAACATACGCACGCAGCATTTTGCCTTCCGGCTGTGGCTGATGACTACACGCTGCTACATCCTCCTGCTCCTCAACAAGCCTTAGATCCACTTACAGACGACAGAAGTGGATTCTAGAAGAGGTGAAAGTGGAAACCACCAACTTCACTGATTTAAGTGAAATAGTAACCCGTTTTAGGACCTCAGTACATATCTAATATGTATTATTACTGAAGAGAAGTGTGCGTGGGGCTTCACTGACCTGAATGCGTAACATCAGAATGTGGTTGGCTTGTTCCAGCTTTTTCTGTCTCACTTCTACATCCTTGGATCTCTGCTGTTCCTTCTGCAGCTTCCTGATGTAATCCACTGAAGCTTTCAGAATGGTGCCTTTATTCCAGCGCATCTCACTGACGTCATTGTGGCGCCATCGGGGGGGAAATTAAATAAACAGTAACAGGAACTTGGATGCATTTTTACAGCTGTCACACGCGCATAAAAATGAAACGACTGGAGAACAAAAGTAAAAAACTTACGGGTCACTTGACTTGGGTATCAGAGTACCCAGCTCCTTTATGCGATCATTGATGTTGAATCTTCTCCTTCTTTCAACTGAAACAAAATCCCAGCATGACTTTTTTAATTAAGTCTGTAAACCTGCCATGTGCTGCTGCTGCATCCTGTCACATTCAGTTAGAGGTCCTTCATTAAAGAGTCAAACACTCACTGAGGTTATGGTTGTCTTTCTTCTGCCTTTCCTTCAACAGCGCTTTCGCATCTGCATCTGAAACAGAAAACACGTGACGCCACGACCAATCGCACTCACACGCTCTTTCAGTGCAAATCAAATCCAGCGAAGTTGCCTCTTTACCAGAAAGTTCCCTTTTAATTTTAGGAAGGTCAGCAGGGCAGGAGTTGCTGACTGCCAGAGTAGGGACCGCCATCCCAGGGCTGTGGTAAACATCCAGCAGATTTCCAGGGAGCTACAACCACAAACACATTAGCTTCATTACGAAAAGTCACTATTATTTAACATCATTTAGAGGCCGAAGGGTATATCGGGCCAATATATTCAATTTTTTCTATATCGGCTGAAATTATCTTAACCGATAAAAAAACAACAACAAAAAAATCAGGCACCCGTGTGGCCAACTGCCACCATTACTAGACTGAAGAAAGGACCCGAAGGACCCCAACACAGTTTTTTTTTAATGTTTTAAGCTTGTTTTATTTTTGAAGTTCAATGAATATTAAGAGATGTATTGACTTGTTGAATTATTACATAATTTATATTGCACACAGTGAGTGTTCAGTTGCCTTTCACAACAAATGTGCTGCTAAAACGCATTTATATCAGCCTTAATAATCGGCTTTAGATATCGGCAACAAAAATCTTTAAAAATCGGTACTGGCCTTAAAAAAAACATATCAGACAGCCTTTAATATCTTTACTCCTTAAATTGGGAAAAATGCTTTGATTCCTTATTTTAGCTTTTCAAAATAAGAGCGTCACTCAGCAGGGCACACTAGAGAGCATAATATAATCAGTTTTCACCTTGCATTATGGGTCTCAAAATACTCACTTCAGAAGTGTCTTTAAAGCACATACTTTTACAGCAGAAGTTCGCAATTTAACAAGATTTATGTCAGCAGGTGGCAGAGTGGTGCTGTTCAGTGACGCTTAACCCTCCCGCGTTCCTAATGTGCTCAGGTGGATCCCAGGTGTGTTGTTCATTACTTTTCCACAGCTTCTTCACTAATCCAGATGTAGCAAGTTCTCCTGTCAGCTTTTGATGAGTCTTGATCAGAATTTTGTCCCCAGCAGTCCCAGCGGGGTCCAATGGACACAGTATTTGTTCACTGTGTGACTTTTGCTTGCCTTTCTCTCAGTTCCTTGACTAATCCTGCTGCAGCAAGCCCTCTGTTTGGAGTTCTGGCTGAAATGTAGTGTTTGCTATTTTTCTCCAACCATCTGCATTCCTAACGGGGTCCAATAGACCCCAGGTGTTTTTTGGGGGGGATTGAGCACCACCTCACCCCTGCCACAAGGATCCTGAAGGATAAAGCATCAACCATCCCCTGTCCTGGGGGGTCCCCAACATGACAGCAGGAGGGTTTTACTAGAATCTAATCAGACCATCATAAGAATGTTCTGGCTACTTATATTACTTATAACTTTCAAACACAAATTTAAAACATGTTAAAATTAATATTCCACTAAATCGACCAGTCCATGAGCAGAGCTGCTATAAATGTAGAGAACTGCTACGGGAGCCTGAATGTCCAAACAGGAAGTTGCTTATACACGTTGCTGGCTGCTTTGCCACACAGATTGTGGGTCTCTCTCTCTCTCTCTCCCTCTCTCCCTCTCTCCCTCTCTCCCTCCCTCCCTCCCTCCCTCCCTCCCTCCCTCCCTCCCTCCCTCTCTCTCTCTCTCTCCTCTCTCTCTCTCTCTCTCTCTCTCTCTCTCTCTCTCTCTCTCTCTCTCTCTCTCTCTCTCTCTCTCTCTCTCTCTCTCTCTCTCTCTCTCTCTCCCTCCCTCCCTCCCTCCCTCCCTCCCTCCCTCCCTCCCCCCCCCCTCCCTCCCTCCCTCCCTCCCTCCCTCCCTCCCTCCCTCCCTCCCTCCCTCCCTCCCTCCCTCCCTCCCTCCTTAGCAAGTCTAAATTCATTGAATTCATTTTAGTGACAGGATTGCGCCTAACCCAAACCTTAACGCACACGCACACACACACACACACACACACAGGATGGGACTAAACTATGTAAATGGTTTTTGTGTAAACTAAATTGTTTTTTATGATTGGAAATGAAACCAAAATTGAAATATGAACAGATTGCTTCTGAAAGCTGCACATGGCAATAAGAACGGAAACTTTTCAGTTAACTGAAGCTGTTCGAGGACAGCAAACAATCTAATCTTTCTACCTGAATACCAAGGCTGGGTGACGCTTGTTGTTCTTTCCAAAAGCAAAAGAGCAGATTTACCTCACTGACTTTCTTCTTGTCTTCCAAAAGGATCACCATAATTCTCATTTTCTCTCTGGCCCTCTGTTGCGACTGTCCTAACTACCGTTTAACCGACTGCTGTACTATCTAGTCAGCAAAATCCACTTTGTCTCACTTCCCCCTCTGATAGCTTTACCCCGCCCAGGCAGCACGTCTGTGGCAAATAGTAAGAAAGTGACACAAATGTATGTTTGCTCCCACAGATTCAGAATTCCTCACAGAAAAGGGACGTGCATTCACAGAAAAAGCACCCCGACTTTAGAACACGTACTAAGACCAAACCTGGAGTTTTCTGTCATCCAACATCTGAATTTTAGAGGAAGTAGCAAAAAGAAAATCAAATAAAAGCGTTGTTTATCATACCGTGCTGGGCAGCTGCAGGCCTGAGTCGATCAGCGTAATGATGTCATCGTTCAGACTGGATTCAAGACTAATAATGTCGTCGATCACATCGTCGATCTACATGAAAGACAAACACCCACAGGTGAATGTTCATTCTCATTAAGGCAACATGCTGTGAGTTTTTAGCCTTTAACAGGCTAAAAACTCACAGCACTTCTAACAGAAGTGCTGAACCCAAAGCAGGAGCTCCGAGGAGGTCAGTAAATAGGAGGAGGTGCAACATTTAACATGCTATTGTGACAACAGGCTAACAGGGGTGTGATGATCAGAAGGCTTGCATCGTTGCAGTGGGAGCTTCCAGCTTAACATGCTATAACAAACTAATTAAAGAAAAATGAGCAAGGGGATCCACTTTTAACTTCCTCAAAACGACGTGCAGATCTGCAGGAAGGCCAACGACCAGCAGCGTTGGGCAATCTGCTGTACAAGCAAATGAAACTCACACAGGAGAAATCAAACCACTGGTAAGAAAGCAGGAATTCCCCTTACTTCCTCCTTGTTGGATCCGATGTTGAGCAGAGCCATGGGACTGTTAGGGGCACTGCTGGCAGAAGGGCCGACCTCAGGGGCCGAACTGGACTGTGGGACCGGCGACACGCCGAGGGTCTGAGTCACCGCCTTGTTGCCCAAAGTGGTAGACAGGTACTGCTTCACCTGCTGCCTCTGGGCCTGCTGGATGTGGTACTTGGTGGGGTTCTCCAAGTGGGTCTGCACCTGAACCGTTTCAATACTTGTTACATACCTTTACTCCAAAACCTGTACGATTTCTGAACATCCTGTATAAAATACTAAGAAGAGGAGAATGCGGTGACTTTCTCATGATTTCAACACCTTGTTCAGTTTTAATTTGATGCAAGCGGCACTCGGAAAAACATTTGCAAGTCAAGGTCGGCGAGGCCCTGAACGCCAAGTCAGTGTGAAGTAGACGTGTGAGACTTTTTAAATCCAAGCATTTCACCGTCTGTTATCATCACAGAATACTTTCATGTTCGGCCTGAATGAAAACCTCAGTGAGTCAGATTAGAATCACAATCATTAAACATGTTTTTTCAGCGAACCACGCTTTTAAATGAGTTACAGCACCGAATTATTTTTTAAATGACACTTGAGTACTCTGCAGAAGCAGGCGGCCTTACTTTCAGCACCTCCACAGGCACCTGAGCAGGAGGAGGGCGGGCCCCGTTTGTGGCCAGGCTGACGGAGATGGCTGGAGTGGAATCAGAGGCTCGGAGCTGAGAGACAGAGGCCTGCTGCTGGGCCTCTCGCCTCTCCTGCTCCTGAGCTTGTTCCCTCATTAGCTGCTGCCGCAGCAACACCCGTGACGACATGATGGAGGCAGAGCAAGGCTTAAAGCTGGAGAAACACAGAACCACAAAAGATGTTAGACGTGAAGAGTTTAAGATGTGTCGTGTTGTTAATTATGCTGGTACGTCACACCCTGAATCCACACTCAAGGCATCAGTGGAGCGGAATGGCAGCGGGACGGTTTACTCGCGTGCTTTGCGGTGCGTCAATCTACACCGGGGAATCTCTGCGGCGGAGCAACTCGTCTGTGATCCTCCTCACCGGACTCACAAAATCCCTCCAGACTTCAAAGGTCCCGGTTTGTTTATGCCAAGGAGATCACATTTGATGTCATATGTTGTTGTTCCTCTCCACTATCAGGATTAAAGCCATGAAAAACACACGGCTGTACTTCTCAACAATGCTGGGAGGAAAGGTCACATGTATTGACGTAATGCATATAGATAAGAAATCGCATCTCTGCAATTATCTTTTATTTTGAAAATTACCAGACGTTTTACAATGAAACTGTGGGTGACTTCCTGTCTAGCTCTATGTGAACTTTCTTAGAAGCAGCTCATCAAAAATACAACCCAGTTCTATCTTTAGCTAGCCTGGCCTGCCAGACTCGTCCTCCGTTTAATTCTGCACAGAGACTCTGGTGACTCACAGGCAGAGAGGCACATGAGGGGCGGGACTAGACAGCTCAAAAATAACCAATCAGAAAAACGACGGAAATGCCGACTGTACCGCGCGACGCTGTCGTTTTTTAGCTGTAGCCAAAAATGGCGTCTGCGACGGCGCAAACTTGTTTCTTTAGAAGAAAGGCTTTCAGCGCTTCTACTTGTTGTGGTTTTAAAGATGTTCAAGTCATTTAGACCAGAGCGAACTCCGCTTCAGTCGCCATGTTTATGACTAACTCGGCGTTGTGGTGTGTGACGTACGCTACTCAGCGCTGATTGGCTCGGTTACAATTCTCAGGGGGCGGGGTTATTTGAATAGGAGAGTTCCCAGACCCTGAGGAGTCTGGCAGGCCAGCGAGCCACGTCCGGACTACGCCTGAAATGTTCCGCGCCACAGGCCAGTTTGGGTTAACCCATGGACTACAATGGTGAAGCAGCGCCGTTCCACACCGCTAATGCCTCCAGTGTGGATTTGCAGTCAGTTTGTTTGTATCCAAAACATATTTAGTGACCAAACTACTTAGGAAGATAGAAATGTTGAAAAGGATGTCAGGTTAAAATTGATTTTTGAGCTACTTAAGGTGCATTTACCTGTCGTAACTTCCTGAAAGACCTGCTTGGAAAAATGGTATTGGCATCCTACAGGACTGATGAGCTAACGTCTGAGCACTGCCAAAAGTGCTGCCTATATTGAATCGTATGGTTCATTTGGACGAAATGTTAAGAAACTCATGTTAGACTTGACCTCCAGATGCAGCACATGCTGTGTACTTGCTGCTGAGGATAAAATTTAAGATAGCAAATAAACACAGACTTCCATAAAAATGTGAAGTTAAAGGTAGAGTATAAATAAGATCAGATACTACAAAAATCTAGAGACTGGAGTTGTTTTAATAAAGTGTGGATATTGGCTCATTAGCCAACATGAATGTCGCTTCTCCAAGCAGAGGTCCTTGCTAGAAAACGGTCAAATATCCCATAAGTTGTCGACGGCTGTGAATCACCATTAAACATCAACACAGAGGAGTTTCCAACATGAAAGTACGTCAGATACTTTGATACGCTATAAAAAACAGAAACTTCTGAGAATGTTGTTACTCTAAACACCTGACTAGACAACGGGTAACCCAGTTACACTTTAATATCTTCTTTTATAGAAAAAACTCACGTTATTATAAGTGAGAATATGCTGCAGTGCTGCACAGATAAACATGGCTGCTGAGATTCATAAATCCTTTTGTGGATGTCTTTTCATTTTGAACCAGACTGCTGGCCGTAGGCCATGTTTCTACAAGACCCTCACCGATCCGTTCACAAATGCTTCATCATGATCAGATTGTGAGGAAGAATAAAAATAAATAACACCCGTGTGAATAAAACTGGTTACTGCTTATTTACCTACAGCAGGACACACAGGGAAGGAGAAGGTGGACCTAAATGTTAAATGTGTCGATCAGATCCTAGAAGACATGAGATCATTTAGCATCATTTCTTTTGCATCAAACACTACTCCTATCACTTAGAGGGTGCTCTAATGTAGTGTTTTTATCCCAGGTCAAAATGTTGGCCTCAAAATGAATTCATTCAGCTCTGACACAGACCTGCAGCTGCTCTCATATATTAATATCTGTAATTACTTTACATCACTTAAACAAAAACGGTCTGAACTGCAGGACCTTAGAGGAAACACGTTTTTGTGGTTTGTTGCTGAATGCTGTTCATGTCTGCAGGAAGATCACAACCATCTCCATGTGCTTAACAACCTCAGCCACTACCATCTCAATCATGTGCAGGCAGCTAAAATGTACTATTGCTACTGAAGCTTAAAAGCAAGAATACCCATGCCCTACTGTTTGCACAATGACAGAGCACCTCTGATCGTTTCAGCAGAAGCTCTAGATCAGAGGTCTGGTACCTCCCTGCAAAACAGTCAATGTCTCAAGGACGTGCAGATCATGTCTATAATGAGTCCGTTGGTCCAGACCAACTCTGTAGGACGTCCAAACTAGGTGTTTGCACAGTGGGCAGTGGCTATGAAGCCCTTGCTTTGGGGCCTTGTAACTTCAAGCAAAAGGAACCCGAGTAAGAGTTAGATACTAGAAAGGCTGGTTTTAGCAGTTTTCTTGTCTTATTGCAAGCAATAAATGCAGGGAATTCCCAATGCAAAAAGACAATAACCATAAAAGCAAGTTGCTTTTAAACATTTCAGTCTGAAAATTAGCTAAACAGGACTAGTTATAAACCACAGTTTGTTTAAAATGTTAAATCAGTTTAGTTGGTGAACTCAAGAGTTCACTATCTTGATTGTTTTAAGCAAAACTCTGATAAATAAAGCATTTTACTACCTATTGGAGACAAACTGCTGTAAAGGCAGTGGGAAGACTTTAAATAAATAACATACATTTATGTAATGTTTTGAAGTGATTGTGGTGAAAATGCTTCATCTCTACCTGAGTAAACTGATTTTCTACAAATGTTTCTAAAGAACAGCTCTACCAGAAGTGTCCTTTTCCCTGTTTGGCTATAAATAACTTTATTAAATTAATAAAAGTATGGAACATAAACTCTAAATGCCGAGATTGCAGTAGAAGATGTGGTATAAACAAACCAAAGTTGACAAATCCCTGCTGAGACCCCTGTAGGTTTCTCCTCAGTGTTGTATTTTCTACTTGTGCACGACATTCAAAGTGCACAGTATAATTCACATATATCCTGAGTGTAGGTACAAAAACAGTCTTATAAACCAATAACTATCCAATTATTTCCGTGGAGCCTCCATTAGCTGTATTTCTAGCCAGGTTATGTAAATACATCGGAATGCCTGCCAAAACAACACTTACTTCTCAGATGTTCAGTCCTATTTTTGAGAAGACATTGATGTTGTTGTTCGGGTGCCAACTTGTTTGTTGAGAATCGTCAGACAGCAGCAGTTAAGTCACTTTTGTTTTCATAATCGTTATTTTTAAACAGAGCTGTTCTGGCGTCATGACTTAGCAGAGTTCGCTTTGACAATTCCGTGATGCTAACGGGCCCTTTTCATTAAAACTACATAAAAAGTGTTAATTAAGCTTTCCAGCGTACACACCACCTGTGGTACTTTTGTTGAATACTTTGTAAGTAATAAACAACACACACAAGGCAACGAGGAAGTCATAACTTGGCTAAAGAGCTAGCTAACAATCTAGCACCCGTTAGCTGCCCAAAAAGCTACAGCTACAGTCGAAAAGCATTTTAGAGTAGATACATACCAAGGAACGGAGTTTGATGGAATTAAGGTCATAAATCCCCACAGTCTCCCATTTTCTTTATCATTTTAACGTCGGTAATTACAAAGTCAGTAGTAGCTGAACTCGTTACTTAACACTGTTTATGTTGGGAATGACGTCAAGCAGGTAAATGTTACCCGGAAGTGGTTTAAGGCTGTCAAGTTAACCTAACTTCAGCTGTTTTTTTATGACCATCACATACAAGAGATGTTAAAAAATAAAATAAACCAGCTTCGAGAAGGGCCGATTTTAAACATACTTGATAAAAACAATTTACTTATCAACAGTTTAGTGTTTTATGGATAGAGCACTGCACATTATGGTCGCAGTTAAAAAAAGACAACAACCAAATATGTCCGGATATGTTCTTTAATTTAATTTTAATCAAATATCTGAAAATTAGAAATCCATTGCAGATGTCAACGTGTCCGAGAGTTTGGTGGCAATTTTATCTGCACAAAAAAATAAATAAAAAGTTTAGTAGTACAGTCTGAACAATAAAAACAATCAACTATTCTTGATGTTGTTCAGGCGGTGTGCTGTGTTGTTGTTATGCTACAATAATTACCAAAAACATATTTTTACCACAACAATTATAACACGATAAAAACAATAGTTATAAACAGATAAAAATGGTGCATTGGTCGTGGTCTGTTTAAATGTTTTGCTGGATTCTGCCAGCCAGGATTATTTTGTAGACTGGAACCTGAAAACATTATAAATCACTGGCATAATTCACCTGAACAATTTGTTGGTTATAAATTCTGTAAGGATTTCTGACAAGGGATAAGCAGGAAGTAGAACAGTTAGATGACCACTCACATTCACGGTGAAATAAAAAGACTGAACACAGACAGAACAACCCTCAGACTGTAGCAGACTAACTAAGCTGCATTAACTCACCCGAATCACTTTCATTTTAGGCTGAAAGTCATAAACTTCCTATGTTTTTCTTATTAGACAAGGTTAGAATAAATGTCACTTATTAAGACAAAATAATTACACAGAGTTATACAAACCAGCTCTTTTCTGTAGCTTTTTCCTTTTCTTGCCGGCAGCCAGGAGAGCCTGGCCCTGCTGTAGAGGATCCACATGTAAAATATCCTTCAGGTTCGGCGTTTTGGGAGCAGCCTCCTTCACAGGCACATCAGTCCTCTTCTGTGCTTTTATTTCCACCGTCATTGGTCCAAACTATTTTAATTGACACAGAAAGAATGAGTGACTGAACAATAATTGTTTTTGGACCAAAATTGTGATTTCAAACAACACAATCTCACAAGATTATCAAAGCTGTGTTCTTTTGTAGCACTACTGACTGATCCTGGACCTGTTGTGTCAACTTTTGTAGGCATTGGGGGTGGGGGGGTGGGGGGGTTAACCATTACTGTGCCCAATTCTTCAGCTGGCAAATCTGCACATTTTTCCTTACATAGCTCTGTTACTACAATGCAGGGAGAACGCTGTGTTTTTTATTAAATACATTTGAAAGCTATTTTTACCTTCACTTTTCCTCCTTGCATTATTACCTTGAACAAGAAGAATGTCTTTTATGTAGTGCCTCTCTAGAAAAAAATGACTTCACAAGCACATAAAAAAAGAAAGTCTAAAATGATAATTGGAGAAAAAATGATTAGGTTTTAATGTTTTTATGGTATGATTTATGACTAGATTGTGACTAGAGTGTTGCACCTTGATTTGAAGAGAACATAATCAGACTGCACTACATAAATATCGCAATTCAATCTTTTGCTCACATGGTTCAGCCCTAAGTGAGACAACCTGCATCTGACACATCTTTACATGCCTCGTGCCCAGATCACAGTGTGCGCTTTACGGCCGTCCCAGACAAACCCCTCGTCGTCAACAGAATCGTGACAAAAAAACGGTGAACACGAGAGTAATCTGCAGGTCTGTGGCCGACCAGTGAGACCAGCTCAACAACAGTTTAATGAGCCCTCTCACGACCAATGTCAGCCTCTGCAATAAACCAATGAAAAACACCCAGGAAGTGATGCTAACAACTAGTGACAGGGGGATAATACGAGAGTAGAATTAGCAGCATTAGCATTAGCAACAGTGGAAGCTACACGCAGGAACATGTGGACCACTCCTTTTTGGAGTTCAGGTTAGGGTTAGGGTCTAATAAAAGAAGTGTTAATGGTGGCACTTTTCTCTTTTCAGCCCTGCCGTTTTGGTTAGCTGTCGGCTTTTAGTGACATATGCTTTTTAGGGGCGTGCTCGTGACGTGCAGTTTGGCTCACTGAAGTCTTGTGCCATACGGTGTGCCACCGTTTTGGAGCTGTGGGCAGTTCTGTGTGATGGCTGAAAAAAGCAGCGGTCCGGGCTTTAAACCTGGAAGAATGAAGTCAACCCTGACCTCTCCATCCTGATCGTCTGCCATAGATTCAACTTCATCTTGAAACGCTTCATCTGAACCTCCTTCCATTCCCGGCTCAGCATTTATCTCATCTGGACCACCTTGTGTCATTCCAGAAGGTTCCATGCAGAACCCCATTGGGACATCTGGGCAGGAGGACTCTGAAACGGTGAAATGCAACCATCCGTCAGACTAGACTGTTCAGATCTGTACAAAACAAAGCTCTGTCACAAATGTTTTAAATAGGGGTGTTCTGATCATGTTTTTTGCTCCTGAGCCGATTCAGATTTATTTTAAGAATCTGCCGATACCGGATCCCAATCCAGTACTTTAGAAATGCATTAAGAAAAAAGGAGAACACACTAGAGCTGTCCTTTAAGTTATTTAAAATCATTAACGCAATTCTTTCTTTCTGCATTTATGTCAGTTCTTCGGTTTATTTGCCATAAAACATCACTTGTTTAGGAAGTAAATTAATAAGAAACATGTTAATATTAAGAATATATGTAAAAATTAAATTGTCCCCACGAATTTCCTGAAAAGCATGTGATCAACCTGATTTCTGATCACGTGATCGGATCGGTGCATCCCTAGTTTTAAACTTGTATTCCAGCTTTGCTTTGTGACATAAAACCTGCAAAGTCAATAACAAATATGACACCTACACATACTGCTTAATCCTTCAAAAGGCAAACTATCATATTTTGTAAATGTCTGCAGCTATTCGAGTGCTGGTTTCCAGGTTTACGAGGTGCATTTGAATGCACCAGATGTTTGTGACACACCTTTAGTGAACTAGGTGTATTTTCTGTCTCTCTTAGTGAGAAAACCATACATGACAGCCCGGGAAACACAGTTTAGTTCTATGTCAACAAGCAGCAGGGGAACAGTTCTATTTCGTCTAGTCTTAGCCCTTAAGCGAGCTGCTATTGGAAGGATGATCTCCGCATCAGCCAATCATGAAGAGCTTAAATGTACGCCCACCAATAGTGGGCCCCCTCGTGGTATATAACCGCAGTGACCCCACTGCTCGCCTCCTTTTTCTCTTCATGCCAAGCTGAGAGCTTCTTAAAGAGCAAATTTATCCAGAAAGAGCAAGATTATCCGAGAAGACTTACCAGCCATGTCCAGCGACGCCAGACCCTGCCCGACCTGCCAGTCGGGCTCCATTTCCAGCGGAGACCTGCACGCTAAGTGTGAGGTCTGTCTCGGGGCTCACCACGCTGGCCTGGCCTTGACCCCGCAGGCCTCGTGCCCGTTCTGTGCCGCTCTGCCCGTGGCAGAGAAGATTCGCCGGGTCGAGTACTTCACTCCCGCCGCCGACGAAGAATTTCCGGTGGCTGACTCGTACCCGCTGGACAAGGCGTTGGATTTCTTCGACGCCGGTCAGGAGCCGGCTGGCTTCAACCGGCTGGATGACGTCACCGACAGCGAGAACTACGACGAGGCGGCATCCCTCCTAGACATAACGGAGGTCGATGAGCTCCGCCCAGCGGGTCCTTCTGCCCCAGTGGCTTCTCGCTCCTCCCTGCCAGCAGTAAGAGCACTGCTCCAGGAGCTGCCCGCCATCATTTCTGCGGCAGCAGCCCACAAGGGGCTAGCTGTGCCAGAACCAGCCCCGCCTGAAGCGGATGATTTGGCGGGAATCTTCGGGGCAACTCAGACACGCTGTCTAGACCCTATTTGGCCGCGCTTCCCTGCTGCTATGAGCTGCTGGTCTGCCGCCTTCTCCGAGCCTGCCAAGCTCAAGGCACCAGTCTCCACCTTTGCACCCATCACCAAGGTCGAGGGGTTTTCCGACCAAGGCTGGCCGTCCGTTCCTCCGCTAGAGCCGGACTTGGCCTCGCTGTTTGGCGCCAAGAACCACCTCGCTGGCCCGCGAGCTGTTCCCGCTTCAAAACATGACCAGCTGCTGACGCGGCTCACCGACCGCGCACATCAGTGTGCCTTTCAGACCGGCGCTGCAGGGAATAACATCGCCCTCCTTGCCTTCGGCGTCTCGAGGATGATGGAGGAGCTGGAAGCCCCCGAGGAGTCGAAGGCCGTCATTACTAAGACTGCTGATGCTATCCTCAATTTGTGTGCTGCTGTGCTCACCGGTTCTGCTCGCATCGCTGCCTGGCAGACCCTCATCCAGCGAGCGATCTGGCTCAAGGCCCTGCCCTCCATTCCGGAGCATCTGCAAAGGGAGATGCTGGACGGCCCCATCACCACCGATGTTCTGTTTGGTCCCCATCTTAGGGGCGTCATTGAGAGGGCTCAGAAGACACCCGAACTATCGGCTACGGTACGAGACCTGGTTCACCCTCGGTCAGCCTCGCACTCCGGCCATTCTGCCAGAGGATGGGACGAACGGCGCGGAAGCTTCAAACGCCCAGCTGCACCGTCCGCTCCACGGAGCCGGCCTCCCGCTTCGGCTCCACATCAGCGGGACCAGCGAGATGGCGGGCAACGGTTCCGGCGGGGCCAGCAGACGCCGTCTTGGCAGTCCCAGGTGCACGAGCCTCGCCGAAAGCAGCCACGGAAGTGACTCTTTGGGGGGAATGTGTGTGTACATGATTGTAATGTTGATGTTGGTTTTGAAATAAAACCCAAAACATGTCACTCAAAGAGCACAATCCTACAGTCCTCCGCAGAATCTCCTGCCGAGTTCTCACACATGTTCCCCACACCAAGCACTGCTGCACGCACACATGTTCCTGCAGGCAGTCATAATATACGGCCAACCGTAAGGGTGCGCTCCATTGGCGCTCCGGCCCCAGCATCCGGCCGGGCCCAACTCTCACCACATCGTCGGGTGGGGCGAGATGTCAGGTCGCTGTCTCGACCATGCGCGGCGGCACAGTGCGCGGCTTCGTCCGCTGGCACTTTGTCGCCCCCGTGCACAGGCTCGGCTCCCACTCGTCCTTCACTTTCGGACTCCACGCTCCGCGGTGCGGACCAGCCTGTTCCAGCTGTTTCGCACCCGCCCTTTCGAGCGCAGCCCTCCATGGGTCGCCCCCAGTTCTCTGGTACGGGCGACGGCGGTAAGGGCGCATGCACAACCCTCAGTCGTTGCTCACGTGACCGCGCACACGCGTCCTCTGTCGGAACGCGCGCACGAGTGGCGCCGCCTTTGTATCATGAGCAAATGGATTTCGGACACCATTCATTGCGGTCACACACTTCATTTTCAGGTCACTCCACCTCCCTTCAACGGGATCGTGGAGACGACGTTCACATCGCAAGTACAGTCTCAGGCTCTAGAGCTGGAGTTGCGGGAACTTCTGTCCAAGGACGCTATTTCACGAGTCCCTCGCGGACAAGAGCTCTCGGGCTTCTACTCCCGCTACTTCATAGTACCGAAGAAGTCGGGAGGAATGAGACCGATTCTCGAACTGTCCCTGTTCAACTGCTCCATAGCAGTAATGCATTTCCGCATGTTAACGATGAGACAAGTCCTGGAATATGTGCGCCCCGGGGATTGGTTCACGTCAATCGACCTGAAAGACGCATACTTCCACATACCAGTAATTCCGAATCACCGGAAGTTTCTGCGTTTTTCGTTCAAGGGAGTTCAATATCAGTTCAATCGCCTCCCTTTCGGCTACTCGCTAGCCCCGCGCACCTTCTCCAAATGTCTGGAGACCGCGCTGCAGCCACTGCGCACGGAGGGAATGAGGGTTTTATTTTACTTGGACGATCTTCTCCTGTGCGCTCGGTCCAAGGACGAGACGTCACAGCAAACCAGGAGGTTGACAGAGCATCTGTCGACCCTGGGGTTTTCTATAAACTGGGAAAAGAGCTCCGTTCTTCCATCCCAGTCGATTGTGTATCTCGGGGTGGAGTTGGACGCCTCCCTGATGAGAGCACGTTTGTCGCCTGCAAGAGCGGCAGATCTCTCCACGGTGATCTCCCGTGTACAACCCCGCAAGATCGTGAGAGCCCTGTTAGTCATGAAACTCCTGGGCATGATGTCCGCAGCCCACGCTGTGGTACCGCTAGGCTTGCTGCACACGAGGCGCTTGCAACGTTGGTTCACCCGCCTCCGGGTGCACCCGATACGTCAGAAGAGACGTATGTTGAGGATTCCCCCTTCAGTGGGCGGGGACCTCGCTCACTGGGGGAACCCCTGCATCCTCTCAAGCGGGGTTCCCATCGGACGTCCTGCGTCACACGTATCTGTGTTCACGGATGCGTCACTGTCGGGGTGGGGGGGCACGTGCTTGTCCCATACGGTGGCGGATAGTTGGCTCTCCCACACGCACGAGCACATAAATGTGTTGGAGCTTATGACAGTGAGGAATGTGATCAGACACTTTGCTGCCCTTCTCGAGGGCCGTCATGTCGAAGTTCACACAGACAACCAGGTGGCGGCAGCCTACATAAATCGCCAAGGGGGAGTTCGATCCCTCCCTCTGTTGCGTGTCGCCACAGATTTACTGTGTTGGACACATGTCCACCTGCTGTCCATCAGGGCCATCTACATTCCGGGGGTCCTGAATGTAGCGGCAGACATCCTGTCGAGAGGGGGACCCCGCGACTCCGACTGGCGTCTGCATCCCGCACTGATATCACAGATCTGGATCAGGTTCGGGGAACCGTCTGTGGATCTGTTTGCGGCTCGCGAAAACGCTCAGTGTCGCCTGTGGTTTTCCCTGAGTCCCCGGGACGGACCTCCGCTCGGGGCGGACGCCTTCTCACACCAGCCCTGGCCTCGAGCGCTCCTTTATGCGTTTCCACCAGTCCCTCTGATTCCCCGTCTCTTAGACCGAATTCGGTCGGAACGGTTCTCGGTGATTCTGGTGGCTCCCAGGCGCTTGTCCGCGTCATGGTTTCCGGACCTGCAAGCGCTAGTGTCCGGCTCCCCGTGGAGGCTCCCGTGGAGGGCGGACGCCCTTCTCCAGGCGGATGGGATAATCAAACATCCTCCGGAAATAGGCCAACGGCTGTGGGTCTGGCCGCTGAGCGGTCACGCTTAGAGGCTTCTGGGCTGCCGCATGATGTGGTCGCCACGATTCAGAGTGCGCGGGCGCCCTCTACCATTGCGTCTTACGCTGCTAAATGGGCAGCTTTCCAGAAATGGTGCACAGAGCGGAATGTTCAAGCGCTCTCCTGCCAGCTGGCGGATGTCCTATCGTTTCTGCAGATACTGATGGACAGGGGCCTCGCCTTCAGCACTATTAAAACATATGCTGCAGCCATCTCATCCTGTCATCAAGGGTTTGGAGATAGATCTGTTTTCAATCATCCCCTCACAAAACGTTTTCTAAAAGGTGTCAGGAGGAACAGACCTGTGTCCCGCCCGCTTTTTCCCCAGTGGGATCTAACGGTGGTTCTGCACGGCTTATCCAAAGCCCCATTTGAACCCTTGGACCAGGTCTCACTCAAGTTCCTGTCACTTAAAACTGCATTGCTGCTAGCGCTAGCATCAGTTAAGAGAGTGAGTGACCTGACCGCCCTTTCAGTGGCTCCCGCATGCCTCAGGATCCGGGAAGATGGCGGGTCTGCTGTTTTATGCCCCAATCCAGCCTTTGTGCCCAAAAGCATTAATGCTTCCTTCAAGTCCAGGTCAATTTCATTGGCTGGACTTTTTCCTCCTCCCCATAATTCTGAGGAGGAGGCGGCTTCTCACCTTCTCTGCCCGGTGCGCGCGCTTGTACGGTATGTGTCACGCACTTCAGGGATTCGTCGTTCACAAAACCTGTTTGTGCACTACAGGGAGTCTTCCCTTGGTCAGGCGCTGACGGCCCAGCGTCTTTCACACTGGCTGTGTGACGCCATTTCCCTCACTTACACGTCATCGGGGCAGGTTTCCCCTGAGGCACTCAGGGCTCACTCAGCCAGGGGGATTTCCTCTTCGATGGCGCTCCACAGTGGTGTGTCGATGGAAGACATTTGTCAGGCTGCTTCATGGGCTTCACCCTGTTCCTTTACTCGTTATTATTTACGGGATGTGTCTTCAGGTTCCATCACTCGTTCAGTGCTTGGACCCCAGCAGGCTGAACGAATGCTTATGACGCCTCATTGGCCTTGCTGAGATGGATTTCATCCTCTCGTGGATGATGTTTTTTTTAGTGGGGGCCCTTCTTTTATCGTGGCTGCCTCAGTCTTTAAGCCTGGTCTGAGGCTGAACCTCCCTCACTAAAGGAGATTGATTGGGTGTGTCCATTGCTTGTGTTAACCAGTGTGGCGTAAACCCATCCAGCTGCGCTTTATTCCAATAGCAGCTCGCTTAAGGGCTAAGACTAGACGAAATAGAACATTGGTTACGTATTGTAACCCCAGATTCTATGAGTCTAGTCGCAGCCCTTAAGCCACTTGGCCCCACTGGTTATGATGGGAATAAGAGCCATTGGAGGCGAGCAGTGGGGTCACTGCGGTTATATACCACGAGGGGGCCCACTATTGGTGGGCGTACATTTAAGCTCTTCATGATTGGCTGATGCGGAGATCATCCTTCCAATAGCAGCTCGCTTAAGGGCTGCGACTAGACTCATAGAATCTGGGGTTACAATACGTAACCAACGTTCTGCTTCCTCAAAACCCCTCATCTAATTCTGTCAAAAACTATTTTCCATGTCGATACACACTTTAAATTCACCTTAATCTTCAAAACTTTCATTTTGTTCATTTTCATTCATTTTTCTGAATACTGCATTTTACAATTTTGATCTTTTTATTCACAAAAATGCTGTTATATGATGGATTGATACAATGTTAACAATTCAAAAGCAAAGACAACAAAAGTTTCATGAGAATTAAATAACAATGCATCAAACGAGGAGCTCAGAAATCTGCCTGCAAGTCAAAGAAATATGCGGGTGTTTCCAGTAAAACTAAAGCCTGATTTATGCTTCTCCGTCTGCGTCAGTGCGGAGACACGCAACGTCCTTGCGTAGGGCTCCGGCAGGCACGCAAGTACGTACGGAGTCGAGCTCTCTTTTTTAAACATCCGTCTAACGAGACGGCTTACGCAAGCTTGTGATTGGTCAGGACGCCGCTGTTTACAGCCCCGCCACTGCGCCCTCAAAAACATAAAGAGAGCCGAGGATAACTAGCAGCAGACACGGAGCAGCTTGAAGAATACCTCGCGAAAAAACTCTAAAAACATGAACGTTTAATTCCCAGAGGAGTGAAAAGATGCGCAGCAAGCGTTTTATTTGTGGATGGAAATGACAGGAAACGTGGGTTTAGAGGTGGCGAGCGCATAAAGTGGAGGAGGATGAGAGACAAATATGTCCGTGTTAAAAAGTCTCTTATATATACAAAAAACACAATATAAACACACTATCTTGGACCGATACATGACAGGATACCACAGAACAGCACTACGCCCTCTGTTGTCCTGCCGGGCAATTGCTTTGCAACACTCTCCAGGAGACGGAGAAGTGAAAGAGCAAAACGCTTCCATCAATCCGTGCGTGTCTGTCCCTTGCGGAGCTGACGGAGAAGCATAAACCAGGCTTTAGTCAGATAAAGGTTTCAAATGAGACGACAGAAACAATCCGTTTATAAAATAAAAGCTCGTCATATGAATTCAAGTCACTCAATATTCCACATTTATTACATAAAACAGAGTAAACTACTGTTTTATGTAAATGATAATGTCCTGTCGGACCTACTGAAGATCTAGACGTTTCTCCTTTCTATCGTCTCATTTAGCCACCTGAAGAGCAACAGCTTAACTTTCACTAGTTTTCTGGCTTAACTCCATTCTGCCCACGAAGCTACAAAGTCTCTACTCATAAACTCTCACTTCCTTGTTCTGCTGAGGTGTTTTCATGAGGCTAAAGCTAGCTCACTTCCTCTCTTTGTTCAGGAATGATAAACGTTGTCACCACACACACACACACACACACACACACACACACACACACACACACACACACACACACACACACACACACACACACACACACACACACACACACACACACACACACACACACACACACACACACACACACACACACACACAGTTCTGTAATGAGAGACAACAGTGGCAGAGTGTCCACCCCCTAACTGAAGGGTTGCAAGTTTGAGCCCTGGCTGATTCAGTCGTTGTGTCCTTTGGCAAGACATTTAACCAGCCTTGCCTCTTGGTGGCCGGAGGGACCGGTGGTACCAGATCTCTGCAGCATCACCTCTGTCAGTGCTCCCAGCTGTGGCTACATCTCATCACCAGCAGCATGTGAATGTGTGTGCATGGGTGAATGACTGGTTGTGTTGTAAAGTGCCTTGGGCGGTTGTGGAACCCTACAAGGCGCTATTTCAAGTGCTAGACCATTTACCATTTCACCATTTAAATGTTGAAAATGGAGAAATTTCCAAAAGTTGGATTACTGCACCTCTTTACCTGCTAGAGCTTCCTGATTTCCTTTTTCCAGCTCATCCCAGTCAAATGCTTTTCCCATCTCAGAAACAATCTCAGCGCTGACGTGCGTGGGGAGTGTGTGCGTTTCTGGAGGGTGTGTGAAGTAGCTGATTCTTCCTCTACAAAAAAACACAAGAAGGCTACATAAACACAAACAACTAGAAACAATGACTTATTTGTGAAACAGCACATTTCCACTAACCCGGTCCAGTCCATCAGTACACTCTTAGCTGCCTTGTCAGTGTCAGGCAGTCCTCCCTTCCTCAGTTTGCCCTGCCGTCGAGCAAGCAGCAGCAGAAACTCCCTGGCTGTCTGGAAGTCTGGAACGCCATAGTGCTCCATGATCTGAAGACGCACAAGAGTTCACATCTACACATCACTAGAACTGCAATCGAATATTTTATCGAATCCTCTGGTGTCGATTAATCGATTATTCTATTTGACGACGTTTCAAGTGAAATGAGACGGTGTGCTGCTAAAAATATGAAAACAAAACAACAAAAGTATAAAAGGTTCAATAATATGTATTAAATTGGTGTTGTCTAGTTCCCTCTTTCTCACCTGATATTCATAGTTAATAATTTTATGGAAACGTTTGACCTACATTTCATTAATGTTTTAGGTTTGCATTCATATCACTCATCCTAGTCAAAATAACATAAATAAATATATCCACATATTTAATTACTTCATTTACATGTTCTGTATTATTTTACTGGAAATGCTACTAACTTCTACTGTAACATAATCCAGTCTAAATTACATTCAAACATAGAAGTGTTTGTGAATTACATACTACAACGGCTTGCCATAGACTGCTATGGTTCTGCTCCATTGTGCAGATAAAATGTGTCACAGGCAGTAGGCGGTCTGAAATAGGTGGGTTTTGAGTCTAGATTTACAGGTGGGGAGCAGAGCAGCTGAAAGCTCAGCTCCCCGTAGTGCTGAGACGGAAAGATGGAACAGAGAGTTTGATCTGAGGGAACGGATGTGAGAGACCATGTGAGAGAGGTCAGGCAGGTATGGGGGTGGGAGGTTATTGATGGCTGGAGGACAGGGCTGATACGGTGACTCATTGGGGTTTTGGAAACGATGTGTGCAGCTGAGTTTTGGACCAATTGGAGCTTATGGAGGGACTTCTGTGGTAGATCAACCAGGAGGGAATGACAAGACTGTGAACAAGTATGGAAGCAGAGTGGGGGGTGAGAGAGGAGCAAAGGCCATTAACATTACGCAGGTAAAAGTAGGCAGCCCGAGTGATGTTGTTGATGTGTGATTGAAATGAAAGAGTGCTATCAAGGATGACACCCAGACTCTTAACCTGATGGGAAGGAGACACAGAGGAGGCATCAACCGTAAGTGAAAAACCTGGAGCTTTGGACAAGATGGATTTGGTGCCAACTACAAGGATTTCTATTTCGTTGTTCAATTTAGTTTAAGCAAGTTTGTGGTGAACCGTATTTAATTTCAACTATACAAAAAGAGAGGAAGGAGGGCAAAGATAGAGAATGAGGTTTTAGAGACAAGTAGATCTAGGTGTCATCAGGAAAACAGTGAAAACAAATGTTGAATTTTAGTAAGACGTGACCAAATGGAAGGAGGTAGATAATGAAGAGAAGGGGCCCTAGGACAGAACCTTGTGGTGCACCTTTGACAACTGGGGAGGGGTCAAATCTGAAGGACCTGAATTGTATGAAATAAATGGGATGGTGGGGGTTTTTCTGTGCTTGTATAGTTTAGTAATTCACAAACCGATTGTGAGGGTGCTGCGCGCTAGCATTAGCCAATCTGCCCATTAGTTTGATCCCAAACTTTGGAGCATTTTTGATTTTTCCATTAGTCTGTATCTTTGCTGGTTTCGCTATTTCCCTCCACAGCACCTAGATTACCACATTGTGTGCCAGTAAAATGTGATCAGATTGTACCTGAGCCTTGTTGCACCGTTGGAGGATGGCTTCGACGGGTGGAAGAGGATCCACAAGCTGCTCGATTTTCACACAGTTACGGAGAATCATGGCTGCGTCAGACGTTGATGTCGCCATGACAATGCCAGGACAATCCAGGAGCTTAATGTGTTTGTCCAAGTGAACTTCTTGAAGACACCTGAAATACCACTGTTGTTAATTTTAGTTTAGTCCATTTGCTTTTTTACCATGAACAAAGCAAGGCAGCAAGAACAGAAGCATGCTGCAGACTTACTTTGTGACACCAGGCGTGGCTCCGACGCTGCACGCCCGAGCTCGTTTCAGACTGTTGATCAAGCTACTTTTCCCTACATTAGGAAAACCTGTAAAACACAAGAGGACAACAACCTCAGTTCAGATAAAATAGTGGTATAAAAAAACCGAGTTAGCTCGTCTACAAATGAAGCTGAGCTTTAGCTTTTTGGTCTTTTGAGGAGCTTAAACACACGCTGGGAGCTCTTTTAGCCAGAGGCGTTCACCAGTCATGGTCTGGTTTTAAAATGACTACATTTCATCATAAACAGACTAGAGGTGCGAATCTTCACTTGTCTCCCGATTCGATTATTGGTTCAACGATTCAATTCAATTCGATATCCCGATGCATCACGATTATTTCATATTGATTTGTTTTCATTGATAAATAGAAGATGTCAGATAATTGCTTTTTATTTTTTTTATCAAAAACCGTAATTGACACAACCTGCCATCGCTCCGTTCACAACAGGTTAGGACAAAACATTTAAACATTTAAGAAGATTTAACAAAGTAAAACATCTGTTTCCTCGTTCAACACCACGCCTCAGGCTGAGAAAAACACGCTTTGCAAAAACTCACAAAATCTAAAAAAATAAAAAAAATCTGAAAACCTACAGGACACATAATGTAATAATAAAATACATAATGGGTTCATATATGAGTGTTTAATGTCTCTGAGCAGCTCTAGAGTCCAATATTTATGCCGCAGTTGAAGGGTGTCAGAAATAACACCAAATGAAATGTTTGCTTAGTTTCATTTGAACCCCGTGGTTCATTTCTGAAATGTTGGAGAATGAATCAAGTTCTGTTTGATGCAGAAAATAATAAAACATAAAACAAATTCTACACTTCCAATAATATTTAAGATGTGTGTTTTATTCTTTCTGATAATAACACAAGCAGGAGGCTGTGGGCTGGATTAGGATTAAATTACCCAGCTGATGGATCTCCTTCACTAACCAGCTAACTACAAACCTTTCCACCAACCTGTCCTGTGTGACCCTCACCCTTTAACCCTCATGTCCATGCTGTCTCTGGAGGAGCAGATAGGAGACAAGACCTCCTGTAACCTAAAATGAACCAAAGTTTCCTCCCAGTTTCTCTTTAAGCTGAATTTAACATCAGTTTATCATCATGAAACAAAAGAATAAAGTGGAACAAGAACTTCTATCTTCTATTTCTCTCTCCTTTTAATTTCTCCGTGTCCCTAAATAAAAGAGACAGACGATTACGCTGCAGCCGCCGTCATTGACCCCGCCCCCTCACCAAGACTGGATCTCCCTACATTACAACAAGCAGTCTGACTGAGCGCTTCGAGGAGAAATAATAATTAAATTATGAAAATAATAACGTGTGTTTGGAGCATCGGTTTGGAGGAGCGTCCTCCGATCCTCTCTCTTGTGTGAGCAGACAGTCTCTCTCTCTCTCTCAGTCGCTGATCGAGCGAGCGGAGCGCGCCGAGTGACAACCCGCTCAAATTAACATAATTCACGGCCCAAATCCAACAGAACCGGTCAGGCTGATTCGGTTCTGGTTCAGTCTCAGGTTACAACTCTAGGCTCAGCCCTGCAGTACCACATTAAGGTGGAACCAGCTGGTAAATGTGGAGGACACTCACTCTGACAGATCTGGATGCAGCGCTGGTGCCGCCATTAAAAAACAAAACTACATTCCACTATTTGATTATTTTCCTCAGCTCTAAAACAGACTCATGATTAAATTACACAGAATAATCAGCCCTAATGCAAAAAGTATCAATCAACCAGGCACACGCCAAACCAGCCCCCTCTAATATAAACACATGTTGTATTCATTTTACTTTCTTCTGGAGAATTTGTTTATCTACATAAAGATGAAAATATTTTCTGTATTTGTTCTTTGTAACCAGTGCAGCTGCAGTTCTCCTTTTAAACAGTAGGAGTCAGAGATCACGCACACACAAACCTGCTGGTAGAGGTTTAATCTAACAGGTGACTGGATCAGCACTGACATCATTGACCAAATCAGGGTTGTGTTACAGATCCACACGCCAGGGACATTCATAACTCAATAAGAATTAGTTAAACTTCAGCTTCTGTTGCTTATTGACCAGATTTCTTTTAACCACGATTATTTAAATCATTTACAGGGCTAAAACTCGTAGGGAGGTGTGTCCAAGCCTCTATCTTTGTTTAGGAAGCCTTACCTACGACGCCTACAGTGATGGCCGTCTTTATGTCCATGTTGCGGCAATAATTGCCCAGTAACTTCATCAGGCAGTCAGCTCCAACGCACGCGCTGCTGCTCAGAAGCTCCGAGGGGGCTTGTGTCACCGGAACATTACTGCGCTTCTGCTCATTCAAAGGAAAACAGCAGGTGTCATGATTATGTGAAGTACATCCGGAAACTTCTAAAATACGACCACATTGAGAACCTAAATGTAAATGTGTCACTCTCACCAAGTTTTTATTTTGTTGCTGAGTAGATGCTTTGAAGGCCACGGTGGGAAACTCATTACGAAGAAACTTGATCCACTTTTCCACTATCTCCTTAGAGACCAAATCTAAAATAAAAGAAAGCAGTTTGGTACTTCATAAAGAGAACAGGACCCGTGTGTCCACTCATTCTCACCGATCTTATTAAGGACTAAAACTATCTTCTTGTTGGTTCCACTCTGGATGATGGCTTGTTCCACCTGAGGACATCTGCAGCCCAGAGGATCGCGTGCATCCAGAATCTCCAAAATCACATCTGAGCTCTCCACCACCTTAAATAAAAACATCAAGAATACTCACATGCTGCATTTTACCAAATGTTGTTTTTGGTACTGAAGGAGGCTGGACGGTGTCTAGGACAACACATCTGCTTCCCACCTTTTTAAATTCTCTGTAATAAGCCTTTCTCGAATTCTCATTTTCAAAGTTAACACGTTTCTCCAACGTCTGCAGTTCTGTTTCCTGGAAAAACAATGAAAAACTAAAATAGTTACTACATATAGAATTAAAACCAGTGCAGCATGCAGTGAGTCTAACTGAACTGCCTTTACCCTGCGCTCAAACTCTCTCTGGCGCTGCAGGATATCATTCTGAAAACTTTCCAGATTCCTCCTCTTCATCATCTCCCGCTCTCTGGACAGTTTCTGTTTTTCCTGGAGATCCTGAAGCTGAAGAGAAACAGTGTTAACGTCATTAACATATTACAACAATCATAGCTTTAGACCCAGCAATCACCCTTTGTTTCCTGACATCCTCTGGTTTTCTGGAGTTCTTAACAAGCTGAACAGCTGACTGCTTTGTTCTATTTGTCCTCCCCGAGGCATCGGCCTTCTGTCCATCTTTAGTCTGCAGAGAGCAAATCAGGATTTATTACAATAAGCAGCTCAAGGCCTGAGAACCCGACCTTCAGTGATTCCTTTATTAAAAACAAACATAAATCTGTAGCATTTTAGGAATTTGAATGAAGATAAAGTCTAAACTAAAGCAAGAGAAGTGTAATACACAGTCTTTTTATTAGACAACTCTGCTAAACGTTACACCATGTTTATGTTACACATACAGGACTGAGGCGGTTTTGTGGTGACACTGGTTTGTTGCTTTGTTTATACATGTTCCTGTCACACAACACATTCTCAGTAAACTCAACCAGAAATCCTACATTTCCAACAGACGTAAAAACTCTGAAAGTAAAGAAGCAGAAAGCAAATATTTAAAAAAAAAACTACGGTGACCAATATGAGTTAACATAGACTTTTATGTCTCATTTTTTTGTTGTTGTTGACCATTTTGAGTTAGACCCAACCATTAAATGCACTTAAAGTTAGACATTAAACTCAGTCCACCAGAACCTGGTGATAATTTGAATTGGTCTGCTAAATTGTATATTTGATTTTACAAAAAACAAAACCCTAAATAAACATCTCCAACCTCTTCCTAAAAGATTTTTTTATTATTAGTTTCATGACTACAATGTAAACAACATATAGTTGTTTAAAGTGCTGTTTACATAAGTGGGAGAAAAAAATGTCCTTCAACAGTAAAAGTTGCAGAGAAATACGGTTTGACACACCCAGCACACTGACTGTAAGAATTTAAACGATGCTAGTAAAATAGTAAAGAGCAGATAACATAACAGCAAACACAGTCAGGGTAACGTTAGCCGGCTAGCACTTACCTTAAATTTCCCAAGGAAACCGAGACGTTTGGCTCGTTTTTGTTCTGTAAAACGCAAAAAGACGACCAAAGCCCGCAGTTAAACATCTACTGATACATACTGGGTCAACACATTTAGCAAAAACAATAACAACGTACTAGCTTTGGACATGTTTTCACTCTCACCGTCCTCTTCGAGCTCACGTGTTTGGAAGGGGAAATGACGTACCCAGAAGACCACATCAACGTCATGTCTGGTTGGATACCAAAATAAAAGCCGCGTCGTGTGAATGTTGTTCCATCGACATTTCCATTTAGGTTGTCTTGGAGTAAGGCTGTCTTTAATTAACTTTTTAGTTCTGTATGTTTTTATGTCACAATGTAAATTAATGATGAGCAAAACAAAAATCTATTTATTTTTATTTACAAAGACAACACATTGTCAACAAAATGTCTCTAAAAATGTCTCTTAAAAACAATTCATATGTAAATTTTTTAGCAGATTTATTGCAAAATATAACTTTTCTGCTGCTTTGCTGAAACAACGTTATTAATGAGAAATTATCATACCTCACGTTTTACTACAACATCGTTAAAGCTTTCGGTGCACAGATTAATAAGAATGTGTTGTGTCAGCTGTGGGATTAGATGATCAGATCAATAAAAAAGAAGCTTTCGTGGAAACATTCAGAGATCAGTTAGTGGCTTTCAAAGAGGTTTTGTTACTGACAGAATTTTGCAAGTTTAGAAAAGAAGCAGATGAGACAGCAATTTTGTTTTTTGTCATACAACATTAGAACATGTCAGTAATGTCTGTGTTTTTGGAAGATGAGAGAAACAGTGTGTAAGTTAATAACCACACCACTTGTTGAACAGGTACTGAAAAACACCTTTTTTTCCAGCAAAACTTTGTTAATTTTCTCATGAAATTGTGCCTGTTAAGGAACTGCAGCTCGTCTCCCTACTGAAGTCTCACAGTTTGTTAATAATTCTCGAAGTTGGCAGACTAAGAAAATGCTGAAAAATACTTGGCCAGTGCCTGGCCCAGGCTCAGGGGCTTCAGTTGGACCTTGGCTCCTTTGAAATAATAACAATTCTGTCTCATCATAGGGGAGGGGGGTGTCCGGGAGGGGGAGGACCCAACCTTACCTGGATGTCTTATGTCTTATATTTTCTGGAAAATTGTGCAAATGCAGGGATGTAAGTAGATAATTTGCTGGGGTGGGGCTGGGTTGGTGCTCTCTGCCTCCGTGGGGCTCTGTGATGCTGCTGCTTTGGGCCCTGGCAAGATGGGCTGATGTCTCCATGCCCTGTGTGGCATTATTGGAATGGAGGTGCCTATTGGTGCCATTGGGGGAGCTGGCTCCCTGGAGGGCTTAGGACAACCAGCCATTCCTCCCCATCCCCATACACTTTTCTCTTCCTGCTCCCTCACATCATCACACAAACATGCCCATAGGACCTTGGCGGGTGGGCAAGTCTGGGGGTGTGGGTATGGATCCCATTTCCGCAGTCCTGTGACAGCCTGCCCCCCAATTTTATTTGCACCTTAAACACTTCCACCAATGACATTCCACGCAAACACACACTTGGGGCCTTGGGAATGAGCACACTCAACGGCATTTGACAGGGGGATCTTTCAGCCTCACCCAGAGTGCCGGTGCCCACTTCCAATTTTAAACTGCAGTTAGACACAGAGGGCTGTGCGGGGAAGTGGGGCTGTGTGGTGGCATCAGCTGGTGTAGGCCAGACGATACCTGCGCTGCCTGCTACCCCCAGCCATGGAATACACCTCATCAAGGAGGGAGACTAGGGGTCTTAGCACACCTCTGTTGTCGCTTGACTTCCTGGGGCTGGAGGCTAGGAGGGGGATCTGGCCATCTGGTTGGGGTCTGGGGTGGTGGAATGCTTTGCTCAGAGTTGGGCGGGGGTGCCTGCTCATCATCACCCCAGCAGAAAGGGGCTAACTCTGGTGACCGGTGATGGTTGTACCCTTCGTGCAGCAGAGTGAATAGGGTGTGAATGGGGAGCGTATGTGTATAACATTCATTTTTGTCAGCCTTAGATTGTATGTGTATATATGAGCGTGAGGGAGGGAGTGTGACTGTGTCTGTGTATGACTGCATATGTCAGGTGGGGTCTTGGACTCCTTCCCTCTCCTGGGACTTCTTGTGCTGCTACATACCATCACATGCCCTCCCTCTGCCATATTTGCTGCTGAGTGTGGTGCCTTGGTCTGCCTGAGTGTTCGCGGCTCCCGTGTCGGGTGGGGGGTGGGGGCTTAAAATTTTTGGCATCTGTCTGATTGATCCCGGTGGCTGCCTGGTGGGATCTGAGTCCCCGGGCTCTGTTGGGTCCCCGATGGGGCTGGTCGCCCCTGGGTAAACTAAAAGTTTGAAACCATGAATAGTCAGATTTGATTGACAGGTGGCATGATCTGTAAGATCTAGCCCTGGGGGAGGGGTGTGTGTCATTTGGACTGGCCAACATTGTGTAAATGGACAATCAAGGTAAGCGACCCATCTGGATGATGTCAGAAGGCCATATTGGCCAGTCCACCCCTGTCTGGGCGTGATGAAATGTGTGACTGGCTTCAAATAAGAACAATCATAAGAGGTCTAGACCATGCAACTGCCGGTCATTTCAAGAAAAAAACTTTGACCTTAATTTTACTCTCATTTAGACTCCAAGCATTTGAGGTGCATCATTCAAACTCTCCACTGAAAGCTGAAGTGTACTCAACAACCCCTGCTTCACTGGCAAGTACATTTGGCAGCCGTCTGCGTATGAATGAAAACTAATGCTGTGCCTTTGAAAGAGCAATCCTGAGATAAGCAGACAGATGAAAAAAATATCTGCACCCACAACAGTTTCCTGAGGCACCCCCAATTTTAGCAGAGCTTCATTTGGGCAGCATAGCTCAGGAGGTAGAGAGGGTCGTCCAGTAATCAGACGGTTGTAGGATACCGACTCCCGGTAGAGAATTATGCTTTTGTGTCCTTGGGCTTATCCCAGCATGCCTGCTGGTGGTGGTTGAAGGGACCAGTGGCGCCAGTGGTCAGCAGCCATGCCTCTGTCAGTGTGTGCCTCAGAGCAGCTGAGGCTACCGTGTAGTTCATCACCATTATTGCGTGAATGTGTTTGTGAATGGATGAATGATACACTGTAGGGTGAAGCGCTTTGGAAGTGACAGGACTGGAGAGTCTATGACTGCAAAAACGTGCTTTTGGCACAATGTCTAGCTGCTTGACTACTGCATGACACATTTTAGCTAATAACTACTTTAAATCAGTTTACTGATGCTAAAAATATATTTCAGTTTTTCATTGTGTTATTGACAACATACATTATCTTTGGAATGTTTTCTTTGATTAATCAAAATAAGTAGAATAGAAATAGTCTCTGTGACTGTGTTATGAAAATATATAAAGACCTCGTTTAAAAATGGTCATTTGCTAAGCTGTAATGTGGATCCAGTGCCACAACACAGATCCATCCTTTGAGTTTAAGACACTTTAAAGTGAAAATGTGTATTTTCTCTGGCAATAAATCATTGCAAGTTAGCAGTGTTTTTGTGTTCGAGTAAGACCTTACCAACGGGCGGGCATTAGGGTAAAAAATCCCTGGGAGTGCAACCTCCAGACAAACAGCATGCACATAAGACTCCCTTTCATCACTGGCAACAATTGAACAGGTAAATATGTGAAGCCGTTTTCTTTGACCAAGGAAGGACAGTGTCCTCGTAAGTAAGGCGCCTTGACACTGAGAAACAGACTTGCTCCCATGTATTTTAGACCCAATTCTTATGGTTGTATGTTACGAATTTGCCAATATTAACAATTAATTTGTTTTCAAGAAGATTTAAATGGATGTTTCCAGAGACTAATGATAAAAACTACACATTATCTCTTTAAGCTCAAATTATTTAAAAAGTCAATGTGTCAAAACAAACAAATAGCTTAGAAATGTTTAAGAAACAAGTTGGAATTTTTCAAATAATGAAACAAAGCATGACAAACACAATGAACAAATTTTATCCTTACATGTGTTAACTTTTTAATGAAATGGGGAATGACTCAAGACTCCTGCATGGAGCTGAACCTAGTCTATCCAACATATTAATACACAATAAAGCAAAATAGAATTAAATCTTTTGAATTGTTTTTTGCATTTTCTTTATATGTTAGTAAATGACATTATGACAGTTTTGTTGTATTTCACTTCTTGTCATCATCATGTAACAGCCGTCATGCTTCTATTCCTTGCATTTCAAGAATAGTTTCAGTTGCATGCGGTGGTACGGCACATGAAGATCCTTGTCTCCCCAGGCTGCCAAATCAGATTAAAGGTACACCTCAGGTTGCTCCTTGACATGATTGAACCCATTTAGGTCAGACACATTTGCTCCGCCATCCGTAAGCTCTCTCTATTGGCATTGGTTTACTTGAGAAAGAGGAGCTTAACCAAAGCTGGTGTAATTGTTTAATCTGATGTATATGTACTTTTATCAGGACATCAAGCCCCATGTCTTCTTCAAGAGGTTGATGATTCTCCAACAGCAAACAGGGATTTCCGTTGTCTGAACATTCAGGTTTCCATTGTTGTGTGCTCTCATTTTATTTGTGCTAAAATATCACAGATCTTGACATCAAATGTTTGCTCAGTAACATGGTTGCAAAACATCTTTTAAAAGGTTACAGTTAGTAGGATAACTTCAACATTTGGCTGGCTGACCATTTGTGAAACTTCACTCAGTCATCAGCGTGTGTTGTGGTCCAGCCAAATTCTTTGTTCAAGGGCAAATGACCATATATCATAATAATTTCCTTTATTATTATTAGTAGTAGTAGCAGTAATAAGAATTAAACACTCCTTTTTTGTGTTTGCCAGATTTGCATGGATTTCCCTAGTTATCCAACTGAAATTTGGGCAGCAAACACTTCCTCACAGATTCTGGATTGGTGCTGACCTGATTCTTAGAGAAATGTTCAGTGGACACAAATCCATTTCTCTTTTCAATTTTATTAACTGGAAATCTATGGAGTGATATTGTAGTTCTTTGTTTTGTTTTTTTGTTTGAACAAAAGGGGAAACTGCATGATTGATTACTCTTTCAATCTGACATCTTTCTAGGCCACATGTGACATTGTGAGCGTCCTGTCACAATGTCCCGATTGATCATGCGCCCTGGCTACTTGGCCAAGGGGATGTCCCTTTGGCTGACTGGTTAGCACGCATGACTCTCACCCGGGAGTCTGGGGATCTTAATGCCCGGGCCCTCGTTTCTCCACCTTGCCACATTTGGCGTTGTTGGCAGGATCCATGTAGTACTGTCAAGTAGGTCCATGGATGTGAAGTTTGTGGCACCCTGCGCGGGGGCACGAGGACGTGCTTGTGGAAAGAGGGGGGAAGATGTGACAGTGTGAGCATCCTGTCACAGTGTCCCGATTGATCATGCGCCCTGGCTACTTGGCCAAAGGGATGTGCGTTTGGCTGACTGACTGGTTAGCGTATGTGACTCTCACCCGGGAGTCTGGGGATCAAATCCCGCCCGGGCCCTCGTTTCTCCAACTTGCCACACACAGTTAAGTTTTCACCAATGGCTTTTTACCCTCCGTGGAGCCATTGCCATTTTGTGAATTAGGCCTGTAACCATAAAACTATCTGAAACCTTTCGTGTGAAAATCAGACGAAGCCTAGTCAACACTGCAGATGAACTAATTCCCAAAATAATTAATACACAGCTGGAACCTGAAATTATTGATAATTTAACAATTATTAAATAAATTCTGTGCTTTTTGTTATAACAAATGCTGTTCAGAGGAAAACCACTTTTCCACTTCAAGCTGTAGCGTTAAGGATTAGCTACACATGCATTAAATTATCAATAAGATGTGATATTCCATATAAATATGAAATATCAATCTGATTGGTCTTTGAATGTTTAATCAGAAGACTTTAGTTTCTTTGACTATTCATGGAACACACACTTCATATTAATCCAGACAGAGTCAAGAATATAGTTATAAAACTATTTTAATCTTCTTTTTCTGAACTACATGATTGTACATGACAAAGTATTAATGAAATGATGGTTGTGAGCTAGAGGCTTTTAGCAAAACCTTTCTTAAGTATCTGAGAGAGCTCGTGGTGTCTGGGTTGTAAAATCAGTTTGGCTGGATTCATGACTTTGATAAGCTAAACTTTATTCATAAAACCATCTGACCCAATTTGTGCCGAGTCTACGCACCCTTGTGTTGAAGGTTCCCATGCAATCCAGGGGGTCAAGAGGTTGGGATGGACACTGTGGTGGGACCCCTGGGCTCCGGAACCCATGGGTCTAGACCTGTCTAGTCTGTGATACCTTCTAGGTGAGGGCATGAAGCTGCAGTGTCTATTTGGTGTCAGAGGCTGTTCGGTGGTTCTTAAAAGAGTCGTTGTGTCTGATATCACTCGCAAGTGTTGAAGAGTAATGTTTTGACCTTGAGGTCAAAAGAGAGGATGGTTCAAAATGCTTGCTTACCGGTCGGCCGAACCAGGAGGCAGCGGGAGAACAAACCAGATCAGGAAGTGACTCCTGTATATATTAAGTGTTGTTTACAAATTCTAGACAAATCTGAATTTGACACATTTTAAAGGGGTGTTAACAAAGTCCTCAGAAAATCACGCATTCACTCAGATACTCAGAGAGGTTAACTCTTTGTCACGTTGAGAGGATGGTTAGGACCCGAAATGCAGATTACCCAGACGACACGAGGCAGGAGTTGATATAAAGTAAAAAAATCCTTTTATTGTAGGATGAACAAAAATAAATCTAAAGGCATGGAGCCAAAATCCAAAAATCCAGAGGCAGGAGAACAAAAGCTCAATTAGAGCACAAACTGGGGACGAGACAGGAAAATCACACAGAGCACCAGAAACACAGCTGACAAACAACAATGGACCGACAAGACACTGAGACAAGACAGGGCTTATATAGAGCTCCGGACCCCACGTGACTCTCAGTTAGTAGATGCCATAATGGCAGGAAAAAAAGGTAAACAAACACGGATCGTAAACATGAACATGAACGGGACGGGATCGGCTTGGATTTTACTTCGTCGGAGTTTACTTCACACTTGAAAACAGAAGAAATCGTTTTATATAGTCAGAATCTAAATAGACTAAACATCTCCGACCCTTACCGTGCCCCTGGGACACTTTTTTAAAAACGCCAGAAGCTGTCGGAGCGGACTTCTTACCGGACCTGGCCGGGGAACCCCTTGGGATTTCCCCGGAGGAGCTGGCCCAAGTGGCTGGGGAGAGGGAAGTCTGGGCCTCTCGATGCTACTGCCCCCGTAACCCCACTCCAGATAAGCGGATGAAAATGGATGGATGGATGGACAAATGACTTACATGTAAGTAGTTTAAATAGAGTGCTGTGCTGTTTGAAAGTATATACTGAACGCCAAGAGAAATCACTAGTTTGATTGTTTTCCGTGAATAAAATAAATATGTCAGGCAGGAGCGTCTCAGGATCTGTCTGAGATCTGTCTCGGTGAGACAGATAATAGCAATTCAAAGTGCTTTTTATGTGTGATCTGACAATTGATCAACCATTGCTTAAAAATTAAATACAGCTTAGCCGGTTAATTGCTGTGATCATAAAACACGTAAACGGCAGCACGCAGAACTCACGAGGCAACGTTTTACGTGACGTTTACTTGCTGCTATGAGTAATAAGACAGAAAAAGCCACGCCAAAATAAGGTTAGGAAGCCCACTAAGAATCGTAATAAAAGCATTTAAAATAAATACCACACACAGTTGAGGAAACGTTAGTTTAAGTACCTGATATGGTCGCTGCATAAGTGAAAACCTTTACTATCGGGGTCCCACAGCTTCATTTTAGCCCGGTCACTAGCGCGTTTTATTACAATGATCCAACGTTTGCGGCGCTCCGGATCTTGGGGAATCCTGTAGATGGCTCATTCCTTATGTCGTCCGTGTCTGTTCTGCATCCTGGGGCACAACAGGAATCTACCATATTTCCCGTCTGATTGAGTTTTCTGACAATAACAAATAGTCCACCTGCTGGCTTCTACCTGCCAATATGGCGCCGTTTCGATTTGAACTGTTGCATGCCGGGAGAAGTGACGTCAACTCCCGGAGCTTTATACACTGGGACTGGAGTGATAGGAGATGAGGAACAGGTGTGTTGGGAACTTGCACAGGTGAAACCAATAATTAGAGAAGAAGCAGAGAAGGACACCAGACCTGATTGGGGAAGGACACACACACACACACACACACACACACACACACACACACACACACACACACACGCACGCACGCACGCACGCACGCACGCACGCACGCACGCACACACACACACACACACACACACACACACACACACACACACACACACACACACACACCACACACAAACTGAAATAAAAGACCCAAAGACAACTGAGGGAAGTCTACAGAGGGCTAAGGATAATAATGGGACACAAGCGGAAAACCTGGAGTGGGAACTGGAGGGGCTGGGGAACAAACGGACACAGAACATGACACTCTTAGTGTGAAGTGCATATGTTATTCCACATGTATGTGATGTGACTGTTAAAACATTAACTCAACAATTACCACGAGGTGTGAATATACTGAGATTAAATTGTTAAATCAACAAACACTGATCTGGTGTAGTTTAAGATCTTAAATGAATCACTGCAGGAAAAATATTCATTTGAACACATCATTGATTAATGCACACATAATTAAAACACTTTGGATTGTATGTGGTTTTATTTTGTTTATGTACAGTAAAAATGGATGGACAATTGCATTAATGTGTTTCAATGGTGTGGGTGGTGAAAAATGTATCTGCCATACAAAATTGGGAATTGTATGAAAATATGTTGGATTGCACGTGGCCCCTCTATAAATATTGTAGCCCTTTGATGGGCCCCACCCTCAGAAAAATCCTACATCAGACCCCTAAGGAACCCCATTGCTGATGCCAATATTATTCATGACTCTTCCACAATAGGGCCGGCTCCACTCGGCCCAGTCAGACCCAGCCCACCCTGGCCCAGTTGATTACACACACCCATCCACACATCCTTAGGAATGCAGACATGACTGAGCATATGGGCGGTCTCCAAAATCGGCGTAAAGATATCAGTAATGTCAATAGAGCATCTCCGAGCACGTTGGCAGGGCAAAAGACGTGCGGAGAAGTCTGCGGTGTCTCCCTCAAATTACAGGAGACAATTCTTCGATAAAATCACAAAGGCTCTCTATATTTCTGTCTGATACATCACATATTTTCTTGTGGTTCTGGTGATTTGTCAAAATCCGTTGCTTTAACTAATTATAATTTAACGTTGTGTTTCTCAATTCTGGTCCTCGCGACCCCCTGTCCTGCATGCTCAGTGTCTCTGCTTCAGCACACCTGATTTACATATTTGCATTGCATCCTCAGGAGGACTAGCCTGGCAAGCCAGACTAAATAAATGTATTATTCTTTGCAAAGCAAGATTTGGTCTAGTTCACTAGGCTACAGGAGGACATCAACTGCTGCAGATGCCTCATTCATTTAAGTCAGGTGTGTGGCAACGCAGAAAACAAGCAGAGCAGGGGCTCCTCAGGACTGGAATTGAGAAACACTGATTTAATGAAAGTACTAGTGAAGAAACTGTTCACTCATTTAATCAATATATTTGCAGTGGTCTCTATAGTGGGAACAAATATTTTGTAAGTTGTACTCTTGGCACAAAAAGCCCATGGTGCTCCCATTTCAGAAGACTGCCAGGCCGAGAGCCTCAGACAGCAGGATTTGGAGTTTTACTTCCTGATATTTGGACATACTAATTTTTAAAAAGATGAAAACAAACAAGAAAAGTATGTAACATTGCTTTATATTTCACACTCAAGTGAAAAAAATACTACATTTGTACAAGATAATGCTGTCATTTTAAATACAGTTTTTTTTGGGGGGGTTGTTTTCATTTGCAGTCAACTATTTTTATGAAAAATATTAAATAAAACAAGATATTTGCTTGTTTGTTTTTTCTTTTTTCTTTTATCCAAAAAGGAAAACATGGATGCTTATGCAGGAGCCACAGAGGAGACCTCTGTCTTTGATGTGGATACTTCAGAACCATCGTCCACCTGTTTGCCAAAGAGTTGCATGATGCATGTTCGAAACTGAAAGGAAAGGAAACCCAATGTGGGTTAAAATATAAACAAAAACACTTTTAAAATTAACTGAAAGATGTGTTGACAAATCCACTGTGCCCACCTGCCGATTCATGAAGACATAAATGATTGGGTTATAGATGGTGGCGCTCTTGGCAAAGTACGCAGGCATGGCAGCGGCCAGGGGATGGAAGGCATATCCAGGGTTGGCCGCAGCAAAGCAGGCAAAAAAGGTGTAAGGACCCCAGCACACACAATAAGCTACGATCATGACGACAACCATCCTGGAGACTTCCTTCTCAGCTTTCTGGGTGGACTCGGATTCCTTCTGCTGCATGGCAACCTGAGGTCCACACACACCAAGACAGTCAGGTTGACCTTTGATAGTTTCCTATGATTCATGTTACGTTAGACTGTGAGGGACGCAACTTACAGAATGGATGGCCAGCCACACAAAGAAGTAGCAGATGATGATGATAGCCAGAGGAAGGAAACAACATGAGATCATCAGAGCAATCATGTAGGACAGGACTCCTGGGTCTTCACTTCCACTGAACACATCAGGTCCACATGAGGTTTTCAGTCCATGGGGCCAAAACCTGAGGATATTAAATGCTTCCTTATTTGTTCACATTCCAGCACACAGACTAATTTTGTATATACTCACTAATTTAGTGGTAACATTTGGATGTTAAATCTAAACAAACTGATAAACCACTTGATTACCTGCTCCATCCAAAGATTGGACAAGCACACCATGCAGCAGACCAAACCCAGGAGAACACAATTCCACCTGTGGCCCATTTGGCATCAAACTTGACATTTCCAAAAGGTTTGCACACGACTATCCATCTCTCCCAGGAGATGATGGTAAGGGACCAAAGAGCAGCAATACCTGTGGAAACAAACAAGATGCTTAGTTTATTTAAAGGTCACATTTACAAATTATAAAATAAACATTTCTCTTTTTCCTAATGTTCCAGGTTTAGGTTTGCTGTCACCACTTACCGCAAGTTGACACAACAAAGCCCCCAAACTATCCAACCAAAAGGTCTGTGTTCAAAAACAAATACTCCTACTCTTAAAATACCTTTGTGGCCACTTACCACAAGTGGACACGGTGAAGCCCTCAAAGACGCACATAGGGTGTCCTAGAATGAAATACCCAAAGAACTGGTTGCACACACTGATGGTGCTGGCAAAGACTGTTTCTCCAAGATCAGCAATTGCAAGATTGACCAAGATCCAGTTTAGAGGATGACGGAGCTTCTTGAACTTTGCTGTGGCCACCAAGACAAGACCATTGGTGAAGACTGATGCAACCACCACAAAACACATCCAGATGGTTGAAAGGTTGTAAACCCATCGAGGAGCGATGTGGTAGTTGGGTCCTTCAAATGGATCTGAAAGTTAAAACCATAGATATCAAATTAGTCACAAATTAAAATTGGTAGCATTCAGTTACAATTTTAACATGAACTAAATGCATCACATTTTTATGAAACCTTTTCAAAGATATAGCAATAGTACTGTACCTCGGGTGTTATTGCTGTTAGTGTATGCAAAGGCAGACTCTCTTGTTGTATCTTCATGATGCCTCCTGGCTGCAAACACTGGTTTTCCCCATTCCTCTGCCATTCTGATCTCAGATGAAGGTTCTCAGCTGTCTGATGTTTCTGTAACTCCTAACCTTCTGGGGTGGCAACTGCTCTACATCAGACTTCAGCTTTTATACTAAGGATTCAGTTATCTCTGATAGGATTACTTTACAATCATGTTAGCGCTGTGGTGTGCCAGTTGGCAGCAATACATAAAGTCAATATACTTATTATGAATGGTAATTAAAACTATCAGCTAATGAGGTTAAGACACTGAGTGGATTTCAGTGGACTCGCTTAATATGAGGATTAGCTTAGAGATGTTTGGCTAACATGTTCTAGTGTTCTAACTCTACCTATAATAAAACTGCATTAATCAGGAACCTAACACATACAGGTGCATTAAAAAAAGTACATCATTTTAAGGTTTAAAGAAAATGGAAAAATGAAGTGCAAAAAAAAATCCTCAAAAAATAAAAAACTATCTGTACATACATAACACATTAAAATAGTCAATGTTTTCAGATTGTGTATGACACTGTGGATAGGTAAAAGTTTGGTCTGGTTAGCAGTAAAGGACAAACTAGTCTTAAAATATATTTACAAGACAGGAGGAGATCCACACTTTAGTAGAAGCCACTACACTTGTTGACGTGTGGTAACTAAGACATCATTAATCCCTCCGGAAAGAAGATTCACCCAAGAGCCAAGTTGTTTTTGATCCACCTAAGAGGCTGAAAATAACGTCACTGTCCTCATGGCATGGGTAAAGTGGATGGACCAAATCATGAATTGTGTAGGATTGAGCGTCTCTAAGGCCAAATGTCTTGAGTGAGTGAGCAATTTCACAGTAATCCAACAGTGAGCGTAATAGTTTAGGAACATAACATAAAATTGGGTCTGCATAAATTACCATTAAAATTTTGATCCTGGGGTTGTTGCATGGAGAAAATACAGTTATATATTTTGAGTTTATAGAATGTTATCAAATTTGATAGAGTACAAAAGAAAAAAAAAAGGGAAACAAACAAGCAAGAAATTAGTACACTACCCTCCCCAAATCCCTGTCTCCTCAGTTACAATATAGATTATTAACCCTCTAAGGCCCTGTCCACACGTAGCCGGGGATCTGCCAAAACGTAGATATTTTTCTACGTTTTGGCCTGTCATCCACACGAAAACGGGAGTTTTTTCACATGAAAACGGATCTTTTTAAAAACTCCAGCCAAAGTGAAGATCTGCGTTTTCTCCGTTTTGGGTGTCTGCGTGTGGACGGACAAAACCGGAGTTTTAAGGTCCGCAACGTCACTTTCCGCGACAAAAAAATGCTGACATCACGTGTGCGACCTGTGTTTACACTAGCCGGCATAATGGAAGCCCTCAGAGCTGCGCTCGCTTTATCAATTGTCCAAGCGCTTTTTGCTTGTTTGTTTTTGCAAGTGGAATTACTGCTCCTTGCGGAAGACCACAGACGAAGGACGAGGTTAAGAACGGGGGAAGTACTGCCGCCTACAGGTCTGGCATGTCCTTAACAACGTATTTATCCGGGTACGTGTGGACAGAGTTATTTTTTAAAACGCGGTGGTGTGGATGCAAGTTTTTGGAGGGGCGGATATTCGTTTTTAAAAAACCCCGGCTACGTGTGGACTAGGCCTAAGATTCTAAATAAGTTTTGATAAAAGGACGAACAGCTAAGTCCTTCAGAGGGACTAAGTCCTTCTGCCTCCAAAGGGTTAAACATACAGTACATAATATATTTTGTCAAATTCCCTGAACAATAGGGAGCCTAAGTCTCCTCCCTTTCCGGTTGGCGCATGGGTCCCCGGAAGAACAAAAAAAAAAAAAAAAACGAATGCTAGCCAATGGGGCTAAAGGAGCTATTTTCTAATCTGCTTTGCCTTACGCCCTGGATCGCACATATGTTAAGCCTGGGGCACACAGGAGACAGATGCGCTGCGCCACGGTTTTGGGAAGTCAAATGGTCACACAGGAATCACTGCGCCGCTGAGCGCTTCTTGGAAAGTCGAGCGATAGACACAACATCACGCGGGACTTGAGGTAGCGGAAAGTTTTCAGCTTTCTTTCCTGATGTTGTCCTTGTAGAAAGGATGTGCAGGATCGTACAAGATCTTATAAATCTCGACTTCAACAATAAAAAAACTCCTCGTCCATGTTTTGGCGATTGGGTTTGTGCCGTAAAGCCGTTCCGTGTTGCAATTTCTGCAAACAGCCGCACTGCGGTTGCGCCACGGCACTTGTAGAACTGGCGCCTATCTTCAGCACTTCAGCGCAGACCGCCACTTCTGGGACGTGGCATTGCGCTCCCCGTGTAGCCACTCTCAGTAACTTTAATGGCTTCTTTTTAAAATGACGGCACGGGCGTGACGTGGCGCAGTGCATCTGTCTTCTGTGTGCCCCAGGCATGCTTCTATTTAAATTAAAAGTAATGAAGTGTGTTTTGACCATGCCAGTCACGCACTCTGAGATTTATCAGCTTGTAAAATTTCGTAATTAGCAGGACTACAGATCAGACATCAGCACGTCACTACATAATCTTCTCTCTGTAGCTGCTACTTACCACATGGCCAGATTTATGGTGGTTCTTTCCTCCTGAAGGAAGGATTTGAAGTTTGCTGAACTTACAGCCACTTTCCCTCTGTTTTTCTCTGTGTCTGGTTTGATGACGTCACTTTGGTGATGTGCATTTGTAGTCCTGGACTTATTTTCACATACAACTTACAATAAAGTTCCTCCTTGTTCGAAAATAAGCTTTTTTTGGTTTAAAATTAATGGACATCATTTATTAAATACATTTAATGTAATATTCCTACGTCCCGCACATGGGATTTGATCATCTTCCTCTTCTACGCTGAGTACAACTGCAACAGTGTTTATGTAAACACATAAAAATTAAAAGTCATTGGAAAGCTGAGAATCTTTAGATTTCAATGACATATGCCAATCAAGCACACAACAATATCTGTAGACACATTAGTCACTTTTTTCAAACCACTCGCAAATGCAAAATTATTTTAATCTTACCTGTGATGCTTTATGTTTTACAGAATGCAGCTATCTTGAACAAAAACAATCTTTTTGTATCCAAAAGGTCCATTAAAAATGCTCCACTATCCAACATAACGTACAGCTGAAAGTCTCTCAATGTTCCTTCAAATACATCCGTTCTTCGTCATGTTTTGCTCATAATGGCGGTTAGCATCCCTATGTTTGCTTCAAACATTTTCACAACCAAACATGATTTATTTATTCACTTCAGACCATTCAAAGAAATTAAAATACTGTAAATCCTCTAATACAGGCCCGGGCCTGTATTTGACTCAAGCTCATCAAGCTCCAGGCCTTTATTGGAAGGAGGACCAGAATTAGAGACAGGCCTCTATTTCTATTTGAGCAAAATGAACTAATGGTTCGCTGGAGTTTTTGACAATTAAAATTGCGCCCACATTTTCAAAGTTAAACACATTTCTTTTAACAACGGTAGTTTCTGCTTCAGCCCTCTCCCCCCTCCCCCTGCGCAGCGGCCGCAAACTCACTGATGCGCCTGCAGCCTCTCGGAGTTCCTGCTGCTCTAAACATTAAAATAATTATTTTATTTTCTGTTCCTCACTTCTGATTACCTTCAATGGTGTCTGTTGCAACCACCAGGTACAAAAACTAACTTGTTTTTATTTGACAATTTTTCTGTCCTGTCTGTTTATTATCTTCCTGCATCTCCTCTCAATCCTAAAGAGAAACTGCTACCTGGATTCATATATATTCACCTCATGAGTTACCTTTGAACTGTAGTTCTAAAAGATCTACCGACCGCAAAAACAGCGGAGTGCTCGCTGCTTGGCGGCCACATCAGTTATCGGTGTGTCACCGGAGGACAAGGTGATGCGCCCCGCTCCACAGCAGCGAAACGCATCAGGCACAAATAAAATACAGAAAACATTAAAGGAAATGAGCCGACATGAACAATCGCGTGTTAAATTAGTTTTTGAGTGGCGACACCCAGTGGCGGCTGGTGAAAAATATTTTTGGTGGGGCTGTGCTATTTTTTTTTAAACAAACTTGTGCTTTCTGAGCTTTGTGCACAACTTCACTATTTCCTGAATTAAGCACAGCTCTTTTATTTCCTGTCTTACATCATTGGACAAACTGATTAATCCAGGTGTGTGACTATTGGCACGCTGCCTTGCGGACCAAGGTTGAAAAATACTGCATTAAATTGCACATAAAATAACATGACCATAAATGGTAAATAGGCAATGCAAGAGGCAAGTAACAAAAACATTTAGTTTAATTTCAACATTTGAGTGAACACGAAAAATTATGAGCAGGTCACTGTTACAGTAATGGTAGTAAACACTACTTAGACAAAATGCCAGAAATTTACACTGTTAGGACTTATGGAAAGTGGAAACACTTTCATAGGAAATAATGTCATCAGTATCCTCTTACAAATGTCATATTTCCCACTTTTTGGGACAATAAAACATTTCTGGTTTTCAATTAGATGTTTTTACTTCAAATGTAAAAACATCTCATTGAGAATCAGAAATGTTTTATTGTCCCAAAATCTGGGAAATTTGTTTGCTGCAGCAGAAGTGTAACAAGTAAAATGGAATCAGATTGATGTATGTACAAATTTACTTGAAATACACATTTACATGATTAAATATGTATAATAGGTATGTGTGTTGAAATGAGTTTTTACAGTTATTGCACATTAAACAATGTACATGTTATTAAACAAATGTCCCGGTTTGTGGGACAACCAAGGATTTCTGATTCTGATTGTCTTGTTCACAGAAATGTAATGTAGAGCTTACCTCTGCACCCAGCTGCTATTCTCCCTGTCCAAACGTCCTCCGTTTCTTTGTTGGCTGCTGCACTGCTGCGCTGCATTCCTCAGTCAGAGAATGAATGGAGTCCCCAATGAGACACAAGTTCCACATCCACCTTCTATGGATCCCAGCCGTTTTGAATAACAAACACGGAAAGCAAAATAACGCATTAGCGTGATTGCATCTAGCTAGCCAAGCCTTCCTGGTGTACCAATTTCGGGAGAAGCC